CAGCCTGTCCCGCCCAGGGTCGTGGGAACAAATACGCTCATTCACTCTCTGAGCTCCCCTGCTCTTTCCCTCCCCAAGAATTCCGGCAGGTCACAGGGGCGCTGCGGTTTCTCCCTCCCCCTGACTCCGCCTCTCCGCCTAAAAACGGACGGCCAAACCCGGACAGAGCAAGAGGACGGTGAAACCAAAGGCCGTGGACCAAGTCTACGACACGGCCGGGTGGTGAGGCGGCCCCCAAAGCTCCCAAAGGGGAGAGCAGAGCGAGGCGACAAGCAGCAGGACGATGGCCAGGTCTGCGTGGCGGCCACCCCAGCGCAGGGGCAAGCCGAGCGCAGAGTCGGGGCGCCCGACCCGCCCGCCGAGCGGGAGGCGGAGCGGGCCCGTGTGGGCGGAGCCGTGGCAGGGCCCGGGGCCCGCCCCCTCCAGCGCCCGAGAGAACAGGGTCTCTGACGAGGCTGGAAGGGGCTGGAGCCCACCCGCCTGGACGACACCGGCTCAAGGCTCAGCGACCAAGCCCCGTTCCACAAACCAGGCGAACAGTATGAACTGGTATTTCAAAACTAGCCGGAAGGCGTTTCGAAAGATTACAAGGTATCCAAGAGTAGCATAAATTAGAAGGAGGAAAACAATGGCCATGAAGTGATAAAACTGCAGGAAAAACTTAGGAAGAAGTTACAGTTATTTCAGAAGTGAAACGAAACCAGAGAAGGAGTGAGTACATACCCCAAGTGCTTCCTTAGGAGGAGTACAAGGTTAAAAAAAAGTTTTAAAATTGAAAATAAAGAAAGAAGAAAGAAAATAGATTGCTAGTGCGGCAGGAGACAGTCAGGAAGGCGGGAACTCCAGAGGTGGCCCAGGGCTAAGATAAAGAACACGGTTCAGGACTGAGACCCTGTTCCAAGACTGGTCTTTCCATGGAAACACTGAATCATAGTGACTCAGGAATGCACCGCACAGACGCTACATGGCCCCTGCTTCATTATAATAGCATTATAATAAATTAACATCGCGGGACCCCCTTCCCCGGTGGCCAATCAAGGAAAATCGTGGGAGACCACATGCACAGGAGCCTTAAAGGAATATAACTACTTGTACGTGTGCAATAAAAGCCCGCCAAGACCAGCCGGGGGCGGGGGACCGGCCCTGTAAGAACAGAGGCCCTCCAGCCCCCGGGGTCAACCCTGCCCGCAGCCGGCCCGCTCCCACGTTCTGTGGACCGCACTATCACTAATAAATCTGCTTTCTCTCTCTTTCTGCTATAAACTCTGCGTGTTCGGTTCAACGCTTTGTCCGCGATCACCAAGAACTTGGCTACCTGGGCCCACCAGGGACACTGTAACATCGAGTTGTTCTGTGTAATCCCCATGGAAACCCCGAAGAACATACCTACAGAAAGCACAGCATGCTGGCTGTAGTTAACACTGTTGTGCTCTTTGAAAGTCGCTGAGACACACAGAAAGGTGCCTCTGTGAGGTGACGGATGTGTTAAATATATTGCGATGATCATTTTTTAATCTATGTGTATATCAAACCATCACAGTGTAGATCCTAAACGTATACAATATTGTATGTCAATTATATCTTAAGAAACCTGGGGAAAAGTGCAAAACAACCTACAGAATATAAACAAACGAGAAGGGACTCAAACCATGTCACTACAAAAAGTTAAACACAAAGGACAGCAAAAATGGAGGAAACGAGGAACAAAAAAACTTCTAAGGCCTACAGAAAACAAGAAACAGCATGGCAGTCGGAAGTCCTTTCCTATCAGTAATTAATTTAAATGTGAATGGATTAAATTCCCCAGTCCGAAGACTGAGACGGCAGAACGGCTTTTTTTAAGAAATGTGGACCGCTTCCCGAACGGGCACACCGCCTCTGCACGGGGGCCATGCGAAGCTTCTCTGTATTGCAGAACGACTTCTAAAAAACAGGATTCAACCGTATGCTGTTGTGATGTCATAAAAGAAACCTCCTGGGTCTTTGTCCCCAGTTCCTGACGCGGAGCTCATAAAACCCTTGGAATTTCCTAAGCGAAGGGAGCGCCTGTTATTTACAACCACCCCTTCCACCCATCTGAGCCACGCCCCGGGGCCAGCCTGCAGGTGACCTTGTCGGTGCCAGGGGTCAGGGCAGGGCAGCCTCCCTGCCCTCTCCAGCCTGCCCTCCGAGCAGCAGAATCTTAAACATAATTATGATCGCGTCACTCCCCTACTTTAAGCCTTCCAGAGGCTTCTAATTTTTTTAGGATGAACACCAAAATTCTCACCCCCGGCACCAGGCTGGCCTGTCCTTCCCCGGCTCACCTCTGACCCGTCTCCCCACGCTGCCCCGCCCCCTCTGTCACCCCGACGCCACCCTGCAGCTGTCTTGCAATGTCTCCGGCCTCCAGGCCTCCCAGGGTCCCTGGCTTGGGATGCTGTCTGCCTCTCACAGACGCACAGATGGGGTGGGGGTGCAAGACGGATGTTAGGGAGCCAGCCGTGTAGGAGGAGGTGGGAGGGAGAGGGTCAGTCAGGGAGAGAACCGCTGCGATGCGGGCCTGCCGGACACTGGCCAGCCTGCTGGGAAGCCCTGGGGCTGATGCTGCTCCATCGTGTCCTGAGTCTTGCTCAGTCGCTGAGCTCAGAGTCCGTCCTTGAACTGAGTGTCAGGCAAGGTGGGGCCTCAGGCAGGGCGGCTCTGTGCGGGTGCGGCTGGCTCCGAGGGCACCACCCAGCAGGAGGTAAGCTCCCTCTTGGCGGGTAGGGGGCACATAGGCCCTGACAGTATCGCTGTCCCAGAGTGTCCTGCCGAGCCGCAGGGCAGCCTGTGGGCCGCTTCCGAAGGGAAACCTCTGCTCAGACCTCTGGGTCCTAACTTGCCATAAAACGCCCTCCTTTTTCTCCCAGCGGCGATCCGTTTGTAATTACACATTTGCGTGTGCGATTACCTAATGGATCATGTCGTCTCTAAGAAACTATACGTTCTGTTTGGGGACGGTTTGCGTGACTCACCACAGCCCCAGAGCTTAGGAAAAATTGGTAAAGGAGCACAGGCCGGAGCCACGCCTCGTGACATTGGGCTCTCCCCACCGTTTGCGGCGTCAGGAGCTCGTGTGCGGTCCAAGTGCTCACTCAGTTCACGGGGAGGGCAGTCCCGATCGGTTCGATCAAGTGTCATCTTTACTATCTCGGAGCCCACTCCTGCCCCACCCCCTCCTGTTCTAAAGGGCAAAACGGACAAAGGTCACACTGCTATCACCACCCATCACCACAGCCACCACCCAAAAGCCTTTTAAAGACTCAGCGCAAGACCAGGAGCAACTCACATTTCCCAGCCCAGGGGCTACACAAGCCGGGTCTGGGGTGGGGTCGGGGGGGCTGCCGCCCCGGAGCTAGGAACCACGGTCTCCCCCTGACTGTGCCACCTGAGCGCGAGCACGTCGTCGCTGACCTTCTCAGAGCCTCGTCTGTGACGTGGGGAGAATGCCTGCCTTGTCTTCCTCATTGGTGGCTGTCAGGTTCAAAGGCAGTGAGAGGCCAGGAAGTGTTTTGCAAATTGTAAGGTGTGTTTCACAAGAAAACAAGGGAGCTTTCCTCTCCCGCAATCGTGACAGGTTGGCAAAGGACCTGATTGGGACACTGGCTTGTTTTCCGACGTCATGACACGGGAGCCCATGTGGAAGGGCTGTGTGCTGGGCATTGTTTTTCCAGCTTGTGCAAATAAGCGTGAGCTCACCTGTCGAAGCCCGCCCTGCCTCCCAGCTCTCCCGTCCCTTTTGATTGCGGCCGGGGCGGGGAGAGAGCAGCAGGAAGTGCCCTGACCTTTGCGTGAAGAGTGAGGGACTGTGATTCCGTCGTAGGCAGGTCAAGGTTAAGGGTGTTATGGAGGGGAAGGTGGGACAGGTGAGAACATGCCATTGAGGGCAGCAGAGTCCCTAGGAAAGCTAAGCTCCCTGGCGGTCCCATCACCCGGAGGCTGAATACCTGACCATTGAGGCAGAGGCTGGGAAGGACCTGGTAGACCGGAAGGGGCCCCAGCGGTCATTTATGCAGCCCCCTTGCAGCGGCAGAAGCTGAGGCCCTCTCGCATCCTCTCTGTGCACTTCGGTGTCTCCCGCCTGCTGCCTCTCCCTGCTTCTCCTGCCCCGCACTGGCTCTGGGTGAGCCAGGAGGCCTTTCTTTACCTGTAGGGACCTTTGCCACACACAAGCGCCGCCCTGTGCTGAGCGTTCATTCTTCAGCAAACATTGACTGAGGGGCTACTCTGTGCTGGAAACCCCCCTGGCGGTGCCGAGAATACCATGGACAAGAAACGCGCTCCGCATGCTGCGCCAGAGCACCCGTAGAGGTAGACCGTAACCCAGTAAAAAGTATCTGAACAAGATCATTTTGGAGGCCTGGCAAAAAATGAAAAGAGGTCATGCAGGTGGGGGAGAGCCTCGATGCAGTGGGTCAGGAAAAGCCTGGGCGTGTGCTAGGCCAGGTGCTGGGACTTCTGTTCTCACAGCCACCCTTACAGGTGTGCGCGGGTCTCCGTTGTGCCAACAAGGCACCCCGCGTTCAGAAGGGGTAAGAGTGGCAGTCAAGTCCCAAACTCCTAAAGCCCGCTTCCTGCCAGCCACTGCGGAGCGGCCGCTGCCACCTGGATGATGAAACTCCGGTGGAGGACTGCACCATCTCTCGGCAGGCGTCCTTGCAGGTGTGGGGGACCCGGGGAGGAACGCGCCTCCAGGGAGCAGCTGCAAAGAGCTCTGAATTCGCAGAAGACCGAGAGCGCGGCCCCCGCCCGGCCCCGCTTCTGCCGGGACAAAGCCTGCTCAGTCCCGGGCTGAGCCGGGCTCCGGCTCTCGCCTCCCGCCCGGCCCCCATCAGACCAGCGCGGTGCACTATGGGACTTGTAGTTCAGCCAGCTCCCACACCCACTTCAGAAACGGACTGGGAAACTACAAAACCCAGGAGCCCGCGGGCAGCCCGGGGCGGAGTCGCCGGAGGTGGGTGTGCGAGCGCAGGGGACCCCGCGGTGCTGGCGCTGGGCGCTGGGCTGCGGGTGCGGGCGCTGGAGCGGGAGAGCGGCTCCTGGAGTGCGCGCGAGCCGGAACGGCGGGAGGCGGCCAGGCGGCGACAGGCACGTTGCATGCATGCACTGGGCACAGCCTCTGCAACGCCCGATTGTGCAGCGCTTTGGCTCTGCAGTGGGGCGATGGAGGGTCCTGCCGCTGCACCCAGCCCCGCAGCCGGGCTGGCACCGATCGCTTCAGGAGCCCTTGGCTGGGCTTGGGGGCAGGCGGACGGGTGCCCGCCTTGGACCGTGAGCGATGTCCTTTTCTCTTTTCTGTGCCAAGGTTTCTCAGGGCTGGTGAGCGATGCAGCGAGCGGCGGCTTTGGTCCGGCGGGGCTGCCGCCCCCGGACCCTGGGCCCCTGGGGCCGTCGTCAGAGCAGCGCGGCCGCCGAGGCCCCGGCCGTGCTCAAAGTGAGGCCCGAGCGGAGCCGGCGCGAGCGCATCCTGACGCTCGAGTCCATGAACCCGCAGGTGAAGGCGGTGGAGTATGCGGTGCGGGGACCCATCGTGCTCAAAGCCGGCGAGATCGAGCTGGAGCTGCAGCGGGTGAGCGCGGGCTCCCGGGCCCCGGGGCCGCGGGGCGCCGACAGGGGAACGAGGCTGGGGTCCGCGCGCCGGACTGCCTCCAAGCCCGCGGGGCTCCTGCAGTCGGCCAGGCTGGCGTGGAACGACACAGTGCCTTCCCCCTCGCCCTTCACCCACCAGTGCCCGGCACTCGGCACCGAGTGAGACCCCCAGATGCGGTTCACTTGTTGAGCGGTGGTGGCGCCTGGCCCTACGTGTTCGGTGGGCACTGCGTGTTATGTGGATAAGGTGGCTGTTTTCCCCGCTTGGCACCCGGATCCTGGGGACGCGGGTGGGGTGGGGGTAGGGCAGGGAGACAGCAAGGAGCAGTGAACAGATCAGCAGAATTTCAGAGCGTGAAGAAGTCCTTTGAAAAAAGTAAAATGGAGGGGCGTGGGATGCGCTGCCGCGTGGTAGTGGTGGAAAGGTGGTCACGGGGGGGGGGGGGGGGGGGGTGCCCCAAACTTTTTCTCTCTGTCCAAGACCTTGTGGGCCATTCTGCCAATAGTGAGTCCCTGAGGAGAGGCGGACAGGAGGGCCCTGCCTAGTTCCTTGTTTTAGGCTCGCCCTGAAACCATGGTGCGCAGCCGCATTTTGTCCTCTGTCTGAGGACACAGCCACCCCTCCCTGAGGAGTCAGGTAGTCGGAGACTTGGGCTTTTCAGACCTTGGTAGGGACTTTCTTGGGCAGCTGGCTGGGGGCTTGAGTTTGTAGTTGTGTGAAAAGGGGCCACACAGCCAGGGCAGCTGGTGTGGTCGTAACAGGGGCCCCGTGGGACTTCTAACCTGGGGGGACTTCTGCAGGTGACGCCAAGAAGGGAATGTCAAAAGATAAGCACATCTAAGATTGGTAGGAACTGATGAAAGCCTTTGAGATAGCGAAACAGTCTTGCTCAAGACAGGTCTGGCTCTGTATGGGGGCAGGGGAGGTTCCCTTGATCCTGCTCTCAGAGGCACCAGAACTGGTCCTCCCGCTGAATTGGTCACTGAGTGTCTTAGAATGCGTGGCAGGAAGCCGTGAAGGGGACATGACACTTGGTCCCCCTTCTATGGTGACTTGAAGGGTTTGGTGATCTCATGGACTGTTGACATCTCCTTGGAACAACCAGTTCTGCTGACTCAAAAGGCTGAGCTGGACAGGTCAGGGTCCAGTGTCTCCCTCTGACTCCTTACGGGGCTAAGTTTAAAGCTGGCGCCGAAGGCTGGCTGGGTTTCCTCCTTCCCTGGCCAGGAGGTGGCTGGGCGGGAGCACAGGTGTTTGCTGCCCTGCTCCTTGTTGGGAGCTGGCAGGCCGGAGTGGGCCCCACTTGCGACAACAATCTCCCTGTTAAAACAAAGCTGAGGTTCAACAGTTCCCGGCTTATCGCTTTTCAGCCGATTTCTCAGGTGCCAACTTTGGGTGTGAATGTGGGGGACCAGGAAGGGTTTCCAGCAGGGTATGGCTCAGTGATTGCAAAGAAACAAATTTCTTGATCGCTTGAGCCAGAAACACCCTCTGGTGTCTGGGACAGACGCCCCACATCCCACGTCCTGCCACTGAGTGAGCTGAGGCGTTCTTCCGGGCCCTTGCCTTGCCTGGTACTTTCACTCAAGGTCCTCCCTTCCCGTTCGCGTTTCCCCCTGTGGGGTCCCCGTTGCCTGGCTGTAGGCGCTGGGGAGCGAGGCCCAGCCAAGCCAGCGCAGCCTCCCGGAACCTCCCATTCCGGAGACAGTTGCTAGACGGTGCCGGCTGCACCGGTGCCCTGCTGAGCAAGCCGTCGGAGTTTTTCTTCCTTGGCTCGGCCTGGCCTGGCTTTGGTTTTTCTCTCCCAGTTTTGCACTGTAGTGATCTAAACTGCGCTGCGGCTAAGAGGGGTTTGATTTGGTTCTAGACGGGATGGGGAGGCATTCGCAAGGAGTAGGGCGACTTGGCGGGAATCTCACGTTGTCACCTGTAGAAGGAGAGAGGGGGCCCTGGTGGCACCGAGGCCTTTACAGCCTCCAGAGCCCCCAGGCCCTCTGCAGCCACTGGGCCGACTGGCTGGACGCGGGCTCTGGGGTGGTTTCCCAGGCGAGTCCTGTGAGTCCCCGCGGTAGGAGTGGTGAAGGCCCAGGAGGGCTGGAGGAGGGGCGGGTGGCCCCGTGGGCGTGGAAGGGGCCATTCTCCTCCGGGGTCTGTGCTCAGGAGGCCCTGCTTCGCCCTGACGACAGCTCTGAGGGGAAGAACCCCTCGGCTTTTCAGAGCCCCGCGTTCCCTGAAGAATAAGCTGCAACTCCGAGTTTGAAAAGATCTGTCCATCAACCTACTTCTTCCCTTGCCTTCCTGGGGGAGGGGAGGAAGCTGGCGCAGGAGGAGCCGCTCTGCCTCTGTTTGTAGAGAACACGGGTCGAGGCAGGACACCTCTGGCTGGAGGGCGGAGCTGGTCTCTGCGGCCCCGGAGGTGCTGAGCGTAGCATGTGCCAACAGCAAGCGAAGAACCGGGATTAGAGACCCTGGGTGGGCCGGGCACAGGTGGGGAAATCTCACTGGTCATTAGAGTTTAGATGCGACTGCACAATATAGACCCTCGTGGAGACGCTGGGCCCGTGAGAAGGCCCGTGCCACCTCTTTTGTCCTTCTCCCCACTGACCGACACTCCCTGAAAGCCACCGTCCCCAGAGCCTGCAGCCTCCTCCGTGAGCCCAGGAGTGGGCAGGGAGCCCTGCTGGGTGGGAATCCGTCCCGGTACCCTACAGGGAGGCAGCCCGGGGCAGGCCGTGCGCGGGCGCACTGAACAGGTGGGGTCGGGGGTGCTGCGAGGGGCCGGGGGCGCCGCGTGCTGACCAGCCGGCGCCTGGGGTGGGGCTGAGGCCCCGAGCAGGCAGTGTGGGCAGGAGTCCGTCCAGGACACTCTCCTCTGTCTGGTGGCCCTTGGCAGGGCCGGCAGGGCCCCGTCACTCCAGAGCCAGCTGCCTGTCCCCCAGCTCGTCCGTCATGGCACCGAGACCCAAGCGAGGGGTGCTCGGCTTCCCCAGGCTCCCTGTCGGCGGGCCCTGAGTGGGGCATTATCCCCTCCCTGCAGGGGCTGCCAGGGGCCCGCAGCTGTGCGCTGGTCCCTGGCCCTCGCCGTGACAGATGTGCTCCCTGCTGCAGCGTGGGCTGGGCCCAGGCCTGGGGGCCATGGCGGTTCAGCCGCGCCGACACAGGGGCCGTGCCAGGAGCCCGGGCCGGTGCCAGGGGGAGTGTCAGGCCCGGCCTGGCCTCTGTCCCCAGCCTTCTTGGCTCCCGCCCGTGGGATGGACTCTGAGCCCTATGCCCTGCGGCCTGTCCCCAGCCTGCTCTTACCGGTGTCCAGTCCAAAGCAGCGCCGCCCCGGCCTCGGCCTTCAGGGCGCTTTGGCTGCTTCTCCAGGCCCCCCAGGGACATCTGTCCATGGTGGCTGGCCAGGAAGAACTCGGCAGAAGGGCACAGGGAGATAAAAGGCCCCTTTCCTCCACAGAAACACAGCTTCTGGAGACTGGTCAGGCCCTGTTTATGAGGGCCCAGGGCCACTTCCAGGGTGTCCTCCTCAGCCCCCCAGGCCTCCTCCCAAGGCCGCTGGGGAATTTCTCCGAGGGAGGGGCTGAGGGGTGGACCCAGGGTCGGGAACGCTTGATTGGCAGCTGCTTTCATCCCTCAAGCCCACTGGTTTGTACTTCAGGCGCATAGGGCTGATTTAAAAAGGGAGAGTTGTCTGAAGTTGCTTTTACTCTCACAATTGTGAGAAACGGAGAAAAAGGCTAGTGTTACAATGATAAGATTCTATCGTTAAAATTTGTACGCAGGGCGCGTGTGGAGGTGGGAGGGAGTCCCCGGCCCCTGGGCCCTGCCACCACCTCCTCTCTCCGCCCTGATGCGCGGCCTTGCCCTGGTGCCACGGTGTGCGAGGACGGGGTGGGAGCTCGGCCGGGCGCCTTTCACGCTGCTTGTCCCAGGTCACCTTCCCAGCTGCGCTGCGAGGCCTTGGACCTGTTGACTCTAACGCGGCCAGTGGCTCGGCCTGCTCTCATCAGGGGGCGGGGGGCGTGCCCGCATTTCCGACCCCCGAAGCCCCCCCCCGCCCCCCCTCCCCGGTCTGGACACAGGCGTCCTTGCCGCCTCCCAAGGAAGTCGTCGTTGGGGCCTCTTCTCTGTGCTCAGGCGGTGGCCTCGGCTTTGCTCTTCAGCCAGTCTTTCCTTCCCTGATGCTAAAAAAAAAAAAGTGAAAATCTGCCCACATTCCTCATTCTGCAAAGCCAAGGTCGGGGCCGTTGTCGATGGTGTCTTCTGGGAGGGGGTGTCCGCAGGACCTGTCCATTTACACAGGCAGGAGCAGGGGCTGTGGGGTCCTCTCCCTCCACCACGCGCGCCCTGGACCCTCGGTTCAACGTCGCTCTGAGGCTGCCCTGGGCCGTGGGCTGCAGCCCAGAACCGCGCTCCCGGCCTTCCCGGGAAGCGGGAGGCGGTGGCGTGGCGGTTAGAAAGGACGCTCTTGGGGCCCGGCCTCGAAGGCCGGCATGCGCACTTACCCTTTCTGTGGCCTTGGCCAGTTTCTGTTCCTCGTCTGTAAAGGGGGGTTAATACTAATTCTTCCTCGTGGGGCCGTTGCGAGGGTTAAGTGGGACCGGGCTTGGCACCGTGCCCAGCACCTGGTGAGGCTCAAAATAAGGCTGCTTATTAATATCCTGTGGGAACCTTGCGTGGCCTCTGGGATCCACGGTCTGAGTCTCTGAAGTAACCAGCTGTCGCTTTCTCCCTGCTCAGGGTATCAAAAAACCGTTCACCGAGGTCATCCGTGCCAACATCGGGGACGCCCAGGCCATGGGCCAGCAGCCAATCACCTTCCTCCGACAGGTGAGCCGGCCCTCAGAACGCAGCAGGCCCCGGGGTCCCCCAGGGAGGCGCCCCTGAGGGGCAGCCCCTCCGGCCGGCCCTCTCGGCCACCGCCCCTCACGGGGCTGTCGGACAGCCCTGAGCCTGCTGCTGGGGGGTCCCTGCTGTGTGAGGCCCCGGCGAGGCTCTCCCGTGGCGTTCGGTCCCGGAGGCCGAGTTTGGAGCTTGGCTGGCGAGGCCGCTGGGCGGCTTTGAGCGTGCCCACCGCAGCACTGCCTGGGAGGACCCCCGGCCTCGGTGGCATGAGGCGTGTGGGGGCCTGGGCCCCGCAGGAGAGTGTGCGGCGCTGGCCTTGGTCCGCCGCTGCTCTCCGGCCGCCTTGCCGGTGTGATGCAGCTCGTCCCGACGTCTCCGGGCGGCGGGCCTCAGTGTGTCCTTTGAGCACCGGCCGCAGAGGTGCTGTGTGGGCTGAGGCTGTGGGGCTGGCGGGCTGGGGGGAACCCATAGGGTCTCCCGGACGGAGGCTGGAGACCAGCTGTGACGACGCTTTTCCTCACAGAGGAACCGTGGCCCGTGTGGGGGCAACACATGTTCCTTGTGTGGCTCAGGTGTGCAGGTCGGGGCAGGCGTGGGACGCTGCAGGCTCCAGTTCCCTTCCCCCTACCCTGCTTCCTTGGGCCGGGGGGGGGCGGCCGGGGCTCTGCTTTCAGGAGGCTCATGCAGGTTCGGGGGTGGGCCGCCGAGGCTGGCGCTGACCTCGGGCTGCCAGCGGGGCCCAGGGTGGGCGAGTGGAGCGGACCGGGCAGCGTGGCTCTGCCCAGGAGGCAGAGGCCGGAGGGGGTCAGAGGGCCCTTCACTGTCCCGGCAGCACACAGCTTTGGAAGGACGGGTCCTGGAGCGGCCTCTGTCCGTGGAGGTTCCCCGCACACGCCAGGGCTCCAGCTGCCGCAGCCTTTTCTGGCTGGGCGCCATGTCCAATGCGAGGGCCGGCCGCACCCACCGGGCGCTGGCCTCCTACAGCCTTGGCGCCTCTCCTGACCTTACAGGTGGCCCAGAAAGGAGGGCGGGCCGGGCAACGGCCGGGGAGGGGTGCCGGCATGGGCTCTCCCGTGAGCTGGGGCTCCCGGCACTTTTGCCAGCGTTTCCTTACTCAGTTTTTCTTGCTTGTGAGGTCAGGGCGATTTGTTGCTACAGAGATGAGAAAGCAGACCCGGTCCTCCGTTCTGGCCAGGAAAGGGGTCACGGGGAGGGAGGGGGCGGGTGACCTTGCCCCTGCCCAGGAGGCCCCCGGTTCTTGTGGCCGTGGAGTGCCGGACGCTGGCCTGTGTGACGGAGCTGGGCGGGGGGCCAAGCAGCAGGTCTGTCCTCTTCCTGGCTCTTCCCATGACGGCCCACCTTGGGCCCCAGCCCAGGTCACCTCGCACCCCGCCTGTCCTGTCTCCATTCTGCGGCCGGCAGCCCAGGACCCTCCTCCCACTCACCCCCGGCTCCCACAGGCCTCGGGGCCATCGCTGTCACCTGCCCTGCCCGGGGTCCTTCATGCCCTCCTGGCCCTCTGGGGCGGGGTGCCGGGAGCCCAGCCCGTCCCTCTGTCCCCGCAGGTGATGGCACTGTGCACCTACCCAAACCTGCTGGACAGCCCCAGCTTCCCAGAGGATGCGAAGAAGCGCGCCCGGCGGATCCTGCAGGCCTGTGGCGGCAACAGCCTGGGTGAGGCCCCGACCTGCTGGGCCCCAGGGGGTGGGGGCGGGCACTGCCTGGGCCTGGGCCTGGGCCGGCTGAGGGGTGTGCGTGCGAGGGAGCGGTGTGCGTGCGAGGGAGCGTGGGGGCGGCTGGCGTGCAGGGCGACGCAGAGCAGCCTTCCCCTGCTCGCCTGGCCTGGCGGTCGGCCCCCTTGGCGCTGAGCCGGCCCCCTTGGCGCTGAGCCGGCCCCCTTGGCGTTGAGCCGGCAGCGGGGTAAATGCCGTCTTTTGCCGGCCGGGCCTGGGAGGCATAGCTCCTGGCTCGGCTGGAACGGGTCTGCCCCTGGGAGCTGGCTGGGACGAGCCCCCCGGCCGCAGAAGGGCTCACCGGCGGCCGGCCTCAGTGCGAGGAGGCGGAGTGGACGCCCAGGGCCCAGCTTGCCCCGCGTGGCCTGGCAGCCCGCCGGGGTCGGGGGGACAGCGCAGCGACGCCAGCACACCTCTGCCCCCACCCCACCTGGCGGCTTCTGTGGTTCCACCCTGCTGCCCACCCTCCCGCTTTGCTGTGTTCCCGCCACCCAGCCCGCGGTCCCGTCATGGGGAGCCTGGCCCGGCACGGCGCCTGCCTCCCGGAGCTGGCATGGCCCCTGCAGATGTGAAAATGGCCCTGTCCCTCCGTTCTGTGCCGAGATGGGCCTCCAGCCTGCGGGCCTCGGTGCTTTGTTCCCACTTCCCATCTGTCTGTTTCCTGTTTACTGTTGCCCCATCCCTTTGCCCAGCGCTTACGCAGGGGACCTGGCGTCCCGCGCCCAGCGGAAAACAGTGGCTCTTAGAGCTTGTTTAGGACCCGTGCCTGGCTGTTCCGGAAGGCGGGACAGGGATTCCTGTGGTGTGCTCAGCAGGGGAGAAGCCGCCCTTGGCCCCTCTGTCACCGTCCTGCCTGCTCCCTTCCCCTTTTGCTCTGTCCCTTTATCGAGAGCCCTGGGCTTACCTTCCTGGCTGCAGTCGCCCCCTCAGGTGTGGGGCGGCCGGCGGGGGGAGGAGACACACAGCAGGCAGGGGCACGGTGGGAAGGGGCCGGGCTTCGTCTGTATGGAATGAAGTCACTAGGGAAGCGAAAGGCCAGAGAGCTTGCAGGTGGGGCCCCTCTTTAGCACAGGCTTCCCGGGCAGAGACTGGAGGCCGGCTTTGGGGGATCGTGGGGTTTGGACCCTCATAGGACGGCAAGGCCGGAAGGCCTGGCCTGCGGGCGTGGGTGCTGGCTGGCGGGTGAGGGCCGGCCTTTGGGGGGCGGCGGGCCCAGGGCAGGGAGGCGGCTCCATGAGGCCACCTTGTGGCCTGTGCCCCTCCCCGAGCGGGCACCTCCGCCCTGACCTCTGGCCTCGGAAACTGGCTTTGCCCGCCTTTGGCCTTTGTGTAACTGGCAGCCCAGGTTTTAGCCCCAGGCGCCCCGGGGCACAGTGTTGGCACGGGCCGGGCGGGGGCCGCGCCCGGCAGCCCCAGGGGCTGTGCTTGGTTTCGCTCGGGGCCGCGGACCCCTGGGGCGGCCGGGCGGTGCTGTTGCCAGCCGACGCGTTCTCCAGGTCAGGGGCCACGTGTAGGCACCGGGGATAAGACACCGCGGTCCCGGCTGTCAAGGAACACACGCAAATCCCAGCAGGGCGGGTGACCCGGGGCGGGGGAGCCAAGGCCTCGGCCAGCGCTCGCCTGGTCGGCCGTCGGTGAATAACAAGTGGACGAGCGGGTGGGTGAACAGACAGGTGGGTGGAAGGGTGAGTGGCTGGGTGGGTGGTGGGTGAACAGACGGGTGGGGGAGGGTAAATGGCTGGCTGGGTGGGTGGGTTGGTAAGTGGGTGAGAGGACGGGCGGATGATGAAGCCCAGGGGGGTGGCTGAGCAGTTTGCCACAATCCCAGAGCTTAGAGTAGAGGGAATCAGGCTCCCCCCCCCCCGATAGCCAAACCACCGCCCCGCCCCCGTCCTCTGTTGATTCCACGTACGATCTGAGCGACACCCGCCCCTGCTCACTGTCTTGGGTGCTGTCTTACAGGGTCTTACAGTGCCAGCCAGGGTGTTAACCGCATCCGTGAGGACGTGGCCGCCTACATCACCCGGAGAGATGGTGGTGTCCCCGCGGACCCCGACAACATCTACCTGACCACGGGAGCCAGCGACGGCATCACCGTACGTGCGAGGCCGGTGTTGGCCGCACGGCAGGCAGCCCTGTGCGCCCGGGCCAAGCCTGCGGGCTGCTGGGGGGAGGCGCGCCGGGGAGGCGGGGCCTCAGCCTCTGCCCTCGACCTTGCCCTGTCCTTGCCTCGCTCTGTCTTCGTGAGCCTGGACATTTCTGCAGCCTCGGTTTCCCGCAGAGCGCACGCAACAGGTCCAGCCGGACAGGCGCCCTGGGGCCCCTGGGGGTGTCCCGCGGCCGTCCTTGGGGCGACGTTCGCTGTTCTCGCCCTCGGCATGCCCCGTGAGCCTGCTCTGTCTGGCACCGCACTGGGAACTTCAAAGCATCTTCTTATCCTGCTCGCCCCTCCCAGCAGGCCTTTTACAGCTGAGGACGGACAGGCTCGGGGAAGCTAAGCAGCTCCCGCGGGGCCGCGGGGCCGCGGGGCCGAGGCTGGGGCGGGGCACGACGGGGCCCCAGCGAGGTGGGACTTCTGTGTTGCAGACGATCCTGAAAATCCTGGTCTCCGGGGGCGGCAAGTCCCGGACGGGGGTGATGATCCCCATCCCGCAGTACCCCCTCTACTCGGCGGTCATCTCGGAGCTCGGCGCCGTGCAGGTGAACTACTACCTGGACGAGGATAACTGCTGGGCCCTGAACGTGCACGAGCTCCGCCGGGCCTTGCGGGAGGCCAAGGAGCACTGTGACCCCAAGGTGCTGTGTATCATCAACCCCGGGAACCCCACAGGTCAGCGCACCACGTCCTTGTGGGGTTGGGGCGGGGGCGGGGCGGGGGTACCAGATGCCTGGGCGCGAGAGGGTTAAGGGATGACGTGAAGTCGTCTTGGTTCTGGGGTTCCCAGTCCGTTTTCAGCTTTGCTAACAGAAGGCCCCGAGGGCTTGCCAGCGGAGGCAGCGAGGCCTGGGCCAGCCTGTGTCCCCCATTCTCGCCTGGCCATCTCCCCCTGGAGGGCTCTCACACACAAGCGTCCCCATTCATCCTGGGCCTCCTGTTTTTCTGAACCAGTTTCCAGAACGCTGGTGTGTGCACTTTTGTGTGTCTTAGACGCTGCCTTGCCGCGGACCCATAGGCCTGGAAAAGGAAATGCCGTATTTAAAGCAAACAAAAAACCTGTTCCCAGGAGCTGAAAATCACTCCTAATTTTGCATGTTTTTCTTAAAAAAAAAAAAAAATAGCACAGGCCCGCCTGTGTGGGCTCTCCAGGCTGCTGGCCGCCGAGCCCCCCACGCTATTTGGATGCCGTTCGGAGGCCGGGAACAAGGGCTGCTCTCTCCTTTGTTGAGATGAATTGGGTCGGGGCCAAGAACGCGCTGGAGTTGATTGTGGCGTCTGCTTGTTGGGAACATCAGATGCGCTCCCTCCCATGCGCGGGGAGCGCCACTTGAGTGCAGGAGCGCAGACCACGGGCAGCTGGCTGTCCTGCCAACCCTGGGGTGAGGGGTGAAGACCCTGACCAGGTGGCCGGCGGAAGATGACAGGGAGCCAGCGTCTCAGTCCTGGCTGCACATCAGAACCACAAAGGGGGCTTTTGAAAAACCGCTAGAGGCCAGGAGGCCCCCCAGAATCTCTGGGGAGGGGGCCCAGGCAGCTGGAGCTTGTAAAGAGACCAGCCCCTGGACCGCCCTCGCACTCTCCTGTGATTGGCCGGGGTGGGGGGATGATTTGCATGTCTCCCCAGCTCCCAGCTGAGGCTGCTGCTCCCGGCTTTGGCCGGAGGCCATCGTAGGGACTTCCGTGCATGAGCAGTTTAGGTTAGAGGGCCGGTCACTTCTGGGGCAGGTGTTCATGTCGGTCCCCACCTGGCTGTCTGGGAGGAAATAACCGTTTCTTGGTAAAACAGGTACAGGGGTTGTAGGTCTTTTAAGGAGCAACTTTAGGAGCAGGCAGACGCTTTATTCACTCTCTGGGGTCCAAATGAGTGAAAATTGGTCAACTATTGGAAGACGGGGCGTGGAAGATGGAAGCCGGCCTGGGCGGCCTCCACCCAGACCCCTAAACCCTGGGCTGGCCTCACCGGAAGCCTGCTTGGCCCTTGTTCGGCAGGACACAGTCAGTCTTTTAGTAAAGGAATCGCTTTATTGCTTAGATAGTTCAAGGCTGAAATGTAAGCTGAGTCACACCGTGCGTTTATAAGATGCAGCTACTATATAATTTTTCAGACATATTCTTGCATAGACAGGAATGTAGGTATTTTTATTTGTAATGAAAAGGTAATATACTCGACCTATACTGCTTTGCATCAGATATGCACATATATTATTCACATATACATGAATAATGTATGTGCATATCTACATGATATACTTACTATACCCGTCAGGCACAGCCACCAGGGAACACAGGACACGTGAGTGATCCTGGGTGAGGTTCTTACCTAGGGGAGAGTTAAACAGCGTTACAACCTACAGTCGGGTTCTGCTGCGTTTTTGCAGGTCAGGTGCAGAGCAGAAAGTGCATAGAAGATGTGATCCACTTTGCTTGGGAAGAGAAGCTCTTCCTCCTGGCTGACGAGGTAGGTGCTGCCACTGCCGGCTGTCCCCAGGGTGGTCGGGGCGCGAACCCTGGCCTGATGGGGCTCCCTAGTGCCAGGGGAGGGAGCCTGCCCAAGGACGAAGCCGTCACCTAAAGCATCCTTCCCTGGTTTGGACTCAGTTATACATTTCAGACATCGAACCCAAACCACTTAAACTTTAAAAAATAAAGGCGTTGGGCTGACAGGTGAGAGGCTGGATCCAGGACCCAAACCGCGTCTCAGGCCTAGGCCTCCCACCGACCCCTATGCCCCGGAGCCTCGGCTCCCCGGCCTCCAGGAGAGGACAAAATGGGCGTGGGACTCACGGTCACGGTCTAGCAGGGGGGCTGACGGGGAAAGGGGTCAGACAGAACAGGTGCGGCCTGGGCGGGCGCTGAGGGGCAGAGGGGGCAGCACGGTTCGCTCTCCAAGCAGGGAGGCTGGGGCAGGGCAGGGGGCCACCCTCATCACCCACCCACCCACGGCACACTCGGGGAGCACTGCTCCACTGGGTGGGCGCCTCCGCGTTGTCCGTGGCTGGTCACGAGAGGTAGAAAGTGATCTGGAGTCGGGGGTGGGGTGTGCGGGGGAGGGATCCCCGGGCATCCAGCCCGGCACCTCCCGGCTGGTCCCTGGAAGCAGCGAGGAGCCCTGAGCCCCTGTCGGCCGCCCCCCACCCCCGCAGGTGTACCAGGACAACGTGCACTCTCCGGACTGCAGGTTCCACTCCTTTAAGAAGGTGCTTTCCGAGATGGGGCCCGAGTACTCCAGCAACGTGGAGCTCGCCTCCTTCCACTCCACCTCCAAGGGCTACATGGGCGAGTACGTGGGCCCCACCTCCTCCCGCTGCCCCGCCGCCTGGTCCCCGCGGTCAGCCCCAGACAGCGAGGGCTGCCCGGAGCCACGGCCTCGGCTGGCCAGAGACGCCAGCGACGGGCCGCGCCTCCCCAGGGCGCCTGGGGCAACAGGACAGCCCGGTGCGGGGCTCGTCTGAAGTCGGCCCGGCGTGTGGGCGGGCGAACGAGAAAGCGGCGTCACCGCGGCTTCCGGCGCCAGTGCTCTCTGCCAGGCCTGTGGCTGTGGCCCCGACGGCCAAGTTGGAGGGGCTGGGGTGGCCTGTTGAATGGACAGACGCTGCTGGGCTGTGGGCCCAGCCTGGCGGGCACCGCCTTAGCCACGGGACCGAGTCCGCTCTGGTTGGGAGCGTGTTCGTTCCGCTGCTGCTGCCTGAGCCCCTGCCGGGTCCTGTGCTGAGCCGCGGGCACAGCAGCGAGCGCATGTCCTTGTGAAGCCAGAGGGAGGGAGAGATCACATGTCAGGCAGAATGCCAGGGGGTAGGCGTCACCGAGGAGTTGGCTTCTGAGTTAAGACCCAAGGGGACACAGGGAGGGGCTGTCTGGGGGCCGCGCACGACCAGAGGGGGCACAGCAGGTGAGGCCAGGGCCGCTGAGGTCGCTTCTCTTTGGGCTCGGAGTGAGCCGAGAGCTGTGGAGGGCAGGGGCAGAGGCGAGGCCCCCCGGCTGGCGCTTTACCAGCCTCTCTCGGGGTGCTGGGTGCTGGGGCAGGGGCAGACATGGAGACACACGTCAGGAGGCAGGTCCGGCCCGGGTGAGGCATCGTGGGCCAGGGCAGAGATGAGAGACGACCGTGGGTCCGCAGCTGGACCCTGGGAGGGGGCGCCATCGGGGCTGCTTGGCATGTGGGTGGGAGACGCAGTAGCGGGGGGACTCCCAGGGTTCTTTTCCAGCGGCAGGAAGGGTGGGGTCACCACCCAGCGACGGATGAGGGAGGCCGTGGGTGAAGCAGTTCAGGGGAGACAGCGGGGCCGGTGTTAGACGCGCTGAATCAGCCAACGCCCGTTGTTTGTCCAGGCAGACACGGGGGCGGGTCTGCGGCACAGGACCGTGTCCGGCCAGAGATTCCGGTTTGGGAGGTGCCCGTGACGGAGTTTTAGATGCGCCTCTGAGCCGGGATGTCTCACAAGGAGAGACGGAGGGAGGTCCGAGGCTGGTCTCCGGGCCTCACTGCTCGATGCTGTGGGGAGCGCAGGCACCTGTGGAGGACAGGCCAGGGCGTGACAGTGGAGGGCCGGGCTCCCGCCATTTCGGAGGCTCCCGATGAGCCTGGCGCCGGGGCCGTAGGGGGCTCGCTTGTTCAGCTGGAGGCCTGTGTCACTTTGAAGCTCAAAGATGTATTTGGCCGGTCGAGGGGCTGTCCTGTGGGGAGGCCGCCCGGCTGTCCTCAGCTGCATTTGATGTGGACAAGGGTGGATTCGTGCATCTTGCTGGTCTGCCTGTAACAGTGCTGCCGCTGCTAGACTCTCTTCCTCAACAGATCTGCTGTTAGCTCATGTCCCCCACTCCAGTGTGTTTGTCCCGTGCCTCGCAGCCCGTGTCATTGATCGCTCTTCTCACACTCAGCCCCCAGAGGTTGCTCTCCTGATAGGACCCATTGTCCTCACATCCTGCTGACAGGTTTAGACGGCATTTCTCCACCCGATTCTCTGATTCTCATCAGCACGAGGTTAAGCAGGAAGTCCCTTCTTCCGACAGTTGTTTCATCAGCGCAGGATTAGGCAGGAAGTCCCTTCTTCCGACAGTTGTTGTGGGAGTCGCTTGCGACGCCAGCGTCTGTCTGCTCGCCTTGGCGAGTCCCGCCCAGGGATCCGAGGGGAGCCTGCCTTTGCCAGTGAGGCTGAGGGCGTTCGATGGGGGGCGTCACCCTACCTGGCGCTCTGCGGGGCAGGGGGCAGGGGCAGAGAGGAAGGGGAGGCCGGGCTTCCGTCGGGGGCGCTGCACGTGGGCGCTCATTGGTCCGAGCGCGGTCAGGCCCAGTCCCAGGAGGGAGGCGCAGCTCCAGAAAGGACCCCTGAGGGGGCTGACTTCGTCCTGAAAGGTTTTTTCCTTTTTTCATCCATATCAGGAAAAAGCCCAGGCGTGAAGCTGGACCTGGCTTCACGGTATCAGCGGGGCCCGGGGTCCGCTTTCCTCCTTTGCCTCGTTGGCCTTCTCGGCTCTGCTCTCCCTTGGGCGGACTTTGTATTCAGGCCGCAGAAAGCTCCAGCACAAGCCTCAGGCTGCTGCCCCCTCAGTGACTCGCCTGTCCCAGCGCAGGGGAGCCCCCGACAGCCCCAACGCCTGAGTCTGTGTCCCTTTGGAGCGGGGGCTGGCATGTTAGCTGGGGTTCGGGCTCCGCTGCTACAACGAAGAGGCCCCAAAATAGAGGGGTTCCAATGAGACGAAAGTGTGTGTGTCCGACAGCAGCCCCAAGGCAGGGGAAGCCCGGGGCAGGCCACGCTCCACAAGGTCATTCGAAGGCGGGCGGTGGGGGGTCTGGCCCCGCCTCCCCAGCATGTGGCCCGCATCGCTGGCCCCCCCATCTAGGGAAGACGAGGAAAGAGCAGAGCGAGCACACTCCCTCCTTGTGAGGGGTCCTGAGGAACCCGCGCAGCGCGCCCCGCTCGCCTCCCATCGGCCGGGGCCGCGGGAGCTCCCGGGTGGCGGGAGGCACTCGGGTGAGGTCTTCTTCCCCTCTCGCCGCTCCAGGTGTGGCTACAGGGGGGGCTACATGGAGGTGATTAACCTGCACCCCGAGATCAAAGGCCAGCTGGTGAAGCTGCTCTCGGTGCGCCTGTGCCCGCCCGTGTCCGGGCAGGCGGCCATGGACATTGTGGTGAACCCGCCGGTGCCAGGCGAGGAGTCCTTCGAGCAGTTCACCCGGGTGAGTCCCGGGGCCGCGTCCCCTCCACCCGCATGCCGGCCCAGCCAGGGTCACCCGCGTGGCTGGCCTCTCCCCAGAGGGTTCCTCTGGGCGGGAGCTCCCCCGGGGTGGGGGACTGAGGGCGCAGCTGGGCGCGTGCCGGAGTGGGAGGCTGTGCCTGCCGCGGGTGCGGCGACCCCCCTTCCTCCCGGAGGGCCCGCTGTCCTGCCCTCCTCCGGGGCTGGCTCTGCTCACACACACGCCCGCCCGCCTTCCCCGGGGGCCCCCTTCTGGCGTTGGAGAGTCGGTCCCTGCTGCGATGCCGGGAGAGGCTGATGCCTGTGCTCTCTCTGTCCCGTCAGGAGAAAGAGTCTGTCCTCAGTAATCTGGCCAAGAAAGCCAAGCTGACAGAAGACCTGTTTAACCAAGTCCCCGGAGTCCACTGCAACCCCTTGCAGGGGGCCCTGTACGCCTTTCCTCGGATCTTCATCCCCCCCAAAGCCGTGGAGGCAGCTCAGGTCAGGGCGCCGGGTGGGGCTCGGCTCGCCCCGGGCTCACTGGGGACGGGCGGCAGGGGTGGGGGCGGCTTCTTGCCTGGGGGCTCTGAACTTTGGGGCCCTCAGCCAGAGAGGGTGCTGACTGCGGCGGTGCCTACACGCTGTGCTGCTGGGCGGCAGGGGGCGGCCCCCGGCGAGGGGGGCTGCCCGGGCCCCCTTGGTGCCAGTGCCCTTGGGGCGGGTGCCCAGGGAGGACGTGGTGCCTTTGACACGGAGTGCGGGCCGGGGACGGGTGCCAACCCCCCCGCCCGTCCCCTCTGCCTGGCCGCTGGGCCCCCGAGCCTCACGTCTCAAACCTGTTCGGATTCTGGTTCCAGTTCAGGAAGCCGGGGAGGGTCCCAGGGTCCGTGTTTCTAGCGACTTCTCAGGCGATGCCACAGACCCTGCTTTGAGAATTGAGTATTTCTGAGGCCTGTCCTCGGCACCGCGTTAAACACTCAGAGCCTGTTCCCCCCAGACCTGCCCTGCCGGGGTCCTGGGTCAGGGCCGAGGACCCACGTGGCAGAGCCTCAGGCTGTGCAAACCCAGGGGTGGGAAGCACGTCAACAGCGTCCCCAGCAGTTTGCTCCTGTGCAGCCCCCTGGTGCAGACCCCGGGCCCCCCGCCACAGGGGACGTGGCTCGGGGGGCAGGAGGCCACCTTCACGTTGAGGTGCCCCCTGCTAAGAGCAGCCGCCCCGGCCTATGGCCGCCCTGCCGCCCTTTGGGGTCTTTCCTCCCGCACCAGCCACGGAGCGTCCGGTCTCCGGTGCCAGGGGGCGGCGGGGGTGGGGGATACGGGACGGCCTCGTCCCGGGAAGGAACCTCCGTCCCCGCTGTGAGTGCCGGTGTCCCCAGCGGTGTGCCTGTGCGGCGCCGTGCGGGGCCCTGAGTCCTGCCTGTCCCCCCAGGCCCGTGACATGGCCCCCGACATGTTCTACTGCATGAAGCTCCTGGAGGAGACGGGCATCTGCGTCGTGCCTGGCAGCGGCTTCGGGCAGCGGGAAGGCACCTACCACTTCAGGTACCGCCTCTGGGCCCCAGGGGCGGGTCCCATAGGGCGCCCTCTGGCCTCGGTGGCTGGGATGCGCAGCGCCGGCCTCCCCTGGGTGTTCTCTGCCATCCGCCCCCCGTTCTGCCCCGCAGAGACCCTGTGCCCGGGTCACCTCCTGGACCACTTGGGCACCCCACCCCACCCCCGCCGCCTCCTCCCTCACGTACCGTCTGGAACGTGCCCGCTGCTGTTTTCTGTATCTCCCCGTGCCTTCCCGTCCCCACGATGGCGGCATCCAGCCTCCAGGGTGTGGCCGCGCATGCGCGGCACCTCACGCCTGCTGAGGTCCTGCCTCCGACGCACCAGGGGACCTGCTGCCCCTGCCTGGCGGGGACTCTGAGGCCGAGCCAGCTGGGGCTCCCCACGGAGCCGGGTCCATTCAGGACGGCACCGCCTCCGGTGTCCCCTGCAGACACTAAAAAAAGAAACACGACGAGCTTAGCCCCTGGAGCCCCGTCTCGGCTGGTCCGGCCGTGGGCGGCAGGCCCGCGCGGACAGTCAGGGTGCTGGGCGCTCCGCCTTCCTGCGGGGCCACCCGGGCCACCCAGGGCTGATCGCGAAAGCTGCCTCAGGGTTGGGCACCACACGGCCGGCACTGGAGGGCGGACTTAGTTACCATGGCAACTTGGGGCTTCCCCGGGAGGGAGACCTGCGAGGGAGGCTCTGGCTGTGGGAGGCTGCGGGGGGGACCTAAGAGGCCTGTCAGGCAGGAGGGGTGTCCCCGTAAGACCAGGAATTGTGGACAGCCGCGCTTTGGAGACGTTCAGGACCCCGGTCCACGCCGTGCGGGCCTTCTGCGGCATCGGCCGAGGGTTTCGGCCTGAATGCGGCCTCTGGCCCGTTGCTCCAGGACGCAGTGTGTGAACGGGGAGGAAACAGCGGCTCCGTAAGCGCCCGGCTGTGCGGGACAGGGGCGGCAGCCCCACCCCCTCGTCCCCAGGACCGCAGTCGGGGGCTGAGCCGTGGGCTCCGCGCCGCTCCCCTTGGCCGGAGCGACCGGCACGCAGGCCGACGCCACTCTCTTTCCCGGCAGGATGACCATCCTGCCGCCGGTGGAGAAGCTGAAGATGGTCCTGCAGAAGGTGAAGGACTTCCACATGAAGTTCCTGGAGACCTACGCGTGAGGCCCCGGGGCCCCGCGGGAGCCGGGCGCGCGCCTCCCGACGCCCCACACGCGCCCCGCCTCCCGGCGACGCTGCCGAGGGCCTCCCGAGGGCCGCCCGTCGCTCCCTCCTCGCGCTGCGCCAGGAGACCTTCCTCTGTGCCTTGCTGTTGGGAGCAGTCCTCTTCCCAGCCAATGTGAATTGCGGATGTCTCAGAAGCCCGTTTTCTTTTTTCTTTTTTTTTCCGATGCAACCAAAGTAGAGGGAACGTGGACAGCCTGTTCTCTGAACCTGGTGGTGTTGCTTTTGGAAGGTTCATGTGGGGTTTGAAACAACAAGGCTGTGGTGGGTGAGATGCTGCGGATCTGGAGGGACAGGACGTTGGGAAGCCCGTTGGCCTAGCCCTGGAGAGGACCGGAGACCCCATGTCCCGTCGTGACCTGGGACGTGAGCCCCTCCGTGGGGCAGGAAGCCAGCCCTCCCGGCTGCGGAGCCCGGAGTCCTCTGCAGGCTCAGAGGCACCCTCCGCCCGGGGCAGGCGGCCCGTGTCTCAGGCCAGAATGGCGAGGGCAGCAGCGTGTGGGTCGCGGGGAGTGCCCAGCTGGGCGGTGGTGGGCACTGGGGGCCACGGCCAGGGGTTTTCTTGTGTCCTGCAGGGGTGTGAGCCAGGCTCCGGGTAGAATCAGGTAGTGAGGACCCCATGCACACACGAGGGCTTGGGGGGTGAGGGGTCCCTTGAGCGTGCTTAGGCTGGGGCGGCGGGCACAGCCCGGCGACAGCAGAGGGACTCTGCCTGGTGGCGGGTGGCTCCCTCCCGTTTTTATCCGCCAGGGGCGTGATGGCGCCTTTACACACACCGCCCTCTGCTGGCCGCAGCGGGAACCGGCAACACAGAAAACGTCCTGATGGCGGGAGGGCGTCCTCAAGGACTTGCCTGACCGTCACCCCCTGTCCCCATCGCGCCTGTGGAGCGTTTCAAACCGCATTTGGTCCATTTCCTAGCCATTAGTCGGCTGAAGTGCCTGGTAGCTCGGCTGCCGTGGAGAGGACCGACGTGTCGTGTGCGAGTGCTTCGCCTCCGCACCTGATGCCCGGCCCTCCCTGCCTAGACAGCTGTCCCGTAGCACCTGCCACCTCTCCAGGCGGCGGGGTACCCTCCCCCAAGCATGCGGCTTCCCTGGCTGAGCAGGCCTGCCTAAGGTTCCAGAAAGTGGGCGCCCCTCCCCCACCGGCCTGGGGGGACCCAAAGCCGGCTCAGGAGTCCCGGGACCCAGCAAGTCCCAGGACAAAGTGGAAGGAGCTGGAGCAGAAACAGAGGGGGCTCTGAGAGCAGCCTCCCGTGAGGGGGGCGCAATAGAAAACGTCCACGTGTCACCGCACGCTGGCATCGCAGTCCCTGTGAACAAGGCAGCCACCACCTGGGAGGACAAAGGGAATATGTGGGAACTTGTCCTTCCTTAAAAAAATGGAGCCATTGCCCTTGGGCTTGTTGAACGGTACGAAAGCCAGCGCTGTGGGCTGTCTGGTGGAAGAGTTAAAGGGTAGAGGCTAGTCTATTTTTTATATCTTTTGTAACAGTTGATTTTCTCATGGGGCAGGGAGGGGGAGGGTAGGCTAGTATTTGTAGTCTTAACAAGTACAGTAGATTTTTTTAACAAATCTCTTCAGATTATAAATAACCCCTAAACATTTTGCAACGTTTACATGATTTTTAAAAAGATGCTGTATACACTGGTTTGCTTTTTAAATAACGATGAAAACCGAATCGGGGCGCTGGTTTAGGACGCTGCCCCCAGGGAGGGGCGCTGGTCATGAGAGATTTCGTTTTCTGCAGATTCTGTTCGGGTGCCTTGTTGGGGCACCGCCCGATAAGTTGCCTGTCGCTTGGGGTCACCCTGGCAATGTCCGCACCTCGAGGCGGCCGCCCGCCGGGGGGGCACCCCCGCACACCTGGGGGCCAGGCTGGCCGTCCCGACGTGTGGATTTGGAGGAGGAGCCGACAAGCCCAACTGTCCCTGTTGTGCAGCGTGGATTCTCCCAGGCATCTCCTGAGCGAGGCACTTGATGGAGAGAGCTCTGCTGGAAATTGTGAAATAAAATATGTGTCAAAAATGGCGACTGTGCTTCACTTTTCCTTGTAGTTTACATTTAAAAACCAAGCGGACGTGCTACCTGTACACCCTCACTGTGCATTTCTAGCACAACGAGCGTTTCCCCCAAATACTGGGGCAGTGGATGTGTGGAGGCTCATTATATTATTCGACTTTTGCGTATATTTACATACTGAAAACATAGTTAAACTCCCACTGACCTCAGACACAAAGGAAACCATCAGTTTCGACGTGGCAGGCGCACTGTCAGGTCGGCAGGCGTGGCTCCAACACAGCGGCCCATTGGAAGTGGCTTGTCATCCGACTAACAGCAGGTCATGACACACCTTCCCGCTTCGGTTTTCAGCACCCACATCCTAGGCATTGAACGGTGTGATGCAATCCGTCGGGGAGGTCCCGGTCGTGCGCAATGTCTCACACTCATGGCCCGCCTTTCAACACACAGCCCTGCACGGGGTCTGCTGACCAGCGGCCTCTCCCTAAGATAAGAGCGTTTCCGTGTGGAAATGTGGGCGAGCTGCCGGGGAGCTGGTCACCTGTGGCACCCCCACCGGTGGCGGCGGCATGTCACCGCAAAGCAACCACGCCCTCTGACCCAGCAGCCGGGCCGTCCAGACCGCCCCGCCTCAGTGCGGACACCTGGGCGCGCAGCTCCCAGGCAGCGCCCAGTGCCCAGCACCTCTTGCAGGAGGGGCAAAGGCAGATACGTGGACATTGTGCTCACGTGCCAATTATGTGACCCTCAACGTGGAGACCGTGCCTTCGGGGTGGGCGGACGCGCTCACCACCGCGCCTTCGGAGGACGGACTGCCCCCTCCTTGACTCGCTGGGCAGGTGTGGGCGGCCGGGGCTGCTTCCTGGCACAGCCTCGCTTGGCGCGCAGCCTGGTGGCCACTTTGACCTGCTGACCGGCTTGAGAGCTCCACCGGAGTCCTCCGCCCGTTTGCGGGGGAGGCCGTGGGGACACGGAACAGGTGACGTGCCCCAGAGGTGGTCAAGCTCCTGACGGGGGGTCCTCAGGCCCCGTGCTGCCCCCGTTTCTATCAGAAAGGGCGCTCTAGGGATGGCCTCCCGACATCCCCATGGGCCGCAGACGACAGTGGAAACGGACGGAAGCACGAAGCCAGGCGTGGAGGCGACACCAGCCTTCCGCCCGCCCCCCACGTGGACAGCGATGCCTCTCAAACACGCGAACGCTCCCCTCCCCGCCCAGAGCCGCTTCTCTGCGGACACGTCGGCCCCGCCCAGGCCTGCCGTCTCGGGGAGAATGGCCGCCCCTCAAGGCCCACGGTTGGGCCCGACACCCGGGCCCGGTGACCCTGACCCCAGCGATCGGTCCAAGGATGGCGCTGACCACCACCAGGCCGATGAGGCTCCGCCCAGGCGCTTGCTGGAGCAGCCAGCAGGAAAGAGCAAGAGGAGCCGCCCTTGCTGGGGCTGCTGACGTGGTTGGCGCCTTGGCGTTGGCACTTGCCCTGGATCTCTCTCCTCATCGCTTCATAGCCATGACCTCTCTGAGTTCCTTCCCATCGCTGGGATTTGGCCTCCTTCTCTGTAACTGGGGCAATGACATCGCCCTGTGGAACGCTGAGCACAGCCCGCGCACGCCCATCATGGCGTGACATTCCTCGGCGGTGATGCGGTGCGGGAGCGGCAAACGTCCACCCTGCGCGCCCACTGGCCCACAGCATCTCTCCTCTGCCAGCGCACGCACGCGTGGGGGCCGTCGGTGCCTGGGGCAAACCACCCAAGGCCGCATTGATGCGCGGCCGAGCCGTAGCTTCAGGAGGCCCTCCCCATCGACTCAGTCACCAGGGGGCTTTCCCGTGTTCGTCCTTCTCCCAGACAGGGACTGTGGCCAGGAACAAAGCAACCACCACAGCACAGGGAACGCAGCGCCGCACACCACGCTGCGAATCCGCCGCACGACACCGAAGCACAAGGAACGGAAGAAAAAGCGTCGATAAATTAGTCTTACGGTGCACCGACGTTGCCGTGCATAACGTGCTCCCCGTCTATAATGTGCGCCCACCTTTTGGGCCCCAACTTTCAGGAAGAAAATCTTCCGGTTTAATTTCTTGCTTCAATTTTTTATTTTTTTTATGTTTAGAAACAAAACCAGTGATCATATTCCGGGGTACGGTTTTGCATACGGATATCATTCTCACTTTCTAGAGTTACACTTTAAACACATGAGCATAAATAAAAGAATTTAAAGCTTTTATAATAGTATGAAACTAGGACTACCCATGTACCATGCACATCCTTATTTTTCCCTCAAAAGTTTGGGCAAAAGAAAGTGCACGTTATACATGGCAAAATACGGTACTTCAGGATTTTAAAAGTGTTTGTGCTTCCAAGGAGGACACCAGGAAGGGAGACAATGCAGAGGGAAATGCTTGCCAACCGAATGTAAGGTAAGGAATAAACAAACCATACGGTGGGATCTTAAGAAAAGGGAACCTTAGATGCCTGTCGCTAAGTGACCGCTGGATACTTCTGATTACATGATGTCCTGGGAAAAGCCAACCAGTAAGCGGTGGTGGTCACGAGTCCAGGCGGGGGCAGGGGAGGGGACTCGATGAGGCACAGGATTTTCAGGGGGGTCAAGCTCTTCTGTATAAACTGTTCACACTCTGGAATAGCAGGTACCCGGCACGTTGCACTTGTCCAAACGCATCGAACTTCATAGCGCAAGAGTGACCCTGAATGTAGGCAGGTTAAAAAGACTCGTTTTGGAGGTGGCGGTGGGGTTCCCCAGGGGGGATCCAGGGCGCAACAACGCGACTTGACTACAACAAAGCCTTGCAACAGTCTCACCAAAGGGGCGGGAGAAAGGCGCTGAGCTAGCCTGACACAGGAGGTAAGAGGAGCCGCGCTCAGCAGCGCGCTCTAGAGGGTAAAGCTATTCCCCCGTGGGCGTGGGGAGCAGGTCCGTGGAAGGGAGCCACCACACAGTGGCCGGCGGGCGGGGGGCCGAGGTGCCACTGCACTGATGCACCGCCGCGCCGACCCACGCAGGTGGGACCCGCAGGCACCTCACACGTGCGCTCTCGGCCGGGGGCATCCTACAGAGTGCCTGCTGGGTGTTCCTCAGAGCTGTCCACGTCGCCCAAAGCCCAGTCCGAGAGCCGTGCCAGCTGAGGAACCCGTGCAGGTGGGTGCCCTGGAACAGGAAAGGGCGAAAACTAAGAAAATCTTAGTCAAGTATGGGCAACGTATTCGAACAGACGTTTCTCCAAAGACACGCAGGTGCCTGAATAAAGCGCGTGAACGAAGATGCGGTCCCGAGGGAAATGAAACCCCGACACGTGACGCCCGCTGCGGTGGCACTAGTGAAAAAGACAGACGGCGCAGTCCTGGCCTCTCACCCTGCAGGTAGCACCGCAAAGGGGTGCAAGCTTCTGGGAGGAGTGTGGCGATCCTTCAAAAGATTCAGCGCTTCCCGGTGACCCGGTAACTTCACCCCTGGGTGCATTTCCAGAACCGAAAATACGTGCACACAGACACCTGCCCGTGAACGGCCGCAGCAGCAGCCCCCAGCGTCCGCCAGCCGGTGACCGGGCCAAGGCCGCACGGCACGTGTCCACAGTGAAGCGCGACTCGGCGACAGCTGGGAAGCACTGACTGGCAGGGTCGCAGGGAGGAGCGCGGAGCCCGGCCAAGCGCACACAGGAGCCACGCGCACTGTCAGAGCTGCGCTTTCCCGAGTCCAGAATAGGCAAAGCCCTAGAAACGGAAGCCAGGCTGGGGGGCGCCCCAGGGGAACGCAGTGGGGAGGGAGGGCTGAGGGAGCGGGGGTCTTTTCTGAGGCGATGAAAATGCTTCTGGGTAGTGGTGACGGTCACAAAACTCGGCGACTAAACACACCCTCGAATGGCACACCTTTAAAAAAAACGTGTATCTAATGGTATACAAATTCCGTTACAGTAAGATTCCTGGTGCTGACGGCACTACAGACGCTCACCCCCCGGAGAGCAGCGCTCCCCCGCGGCCCCGGCGCCGAGGGGACGGCCAGGCCCCCACGAGGCCTTACCCCTCCCCTCCCACACGGCCTTCTCTGCCAGTCGAGGAACTTGGACGGAAGGAAAGACTATACTGAACAACTGCTTTATAAACCTTTATTGGAACGGCTACAAACTTTATGTTGTCACTGCATTTCTTACGCTTAAAGCGGTCGTGGGAAGTAACCTTGGGTACAAAACTACTGTGCTGTCGACTCTCACCCAGACCGGCGGTACAGTGTGTCTTGAACAACGGAGGTAGAGTGGAGAGGACAGTAACTTACACCTCACAGGCTGTGGTTAACGCCAGGCCGGCTCTTTCTTTTCCTCTTCATTCACTTCTAGACGACCTAGAAATAAACTACAAATAGTATTTTTAGGTCAGGGACAGCCTGATCCCTTTAAAAGGCTTTGTTTTCCATCTCCCCCACTTGTTCTTTGACAAATGTAAAATGAACAACTGCTGTCTCTCTTCCTTCAAGTGTGTCCTACGCACACCCATCCCGGGCCCGGGAAGGCGGCCCCGGCGAGGCTACGGGAGGAGCACGCGCCCTTCACGGGCTGGCCCCGGGGCCTGCGCACGCCGGTGGCGAGCGACGCCTGCTGCTCTCAAACACCCCGCTAACGGAGGCGGAGAACCTCGATGCGACGTGAACGAGCAGAGGGCATGTCGGCAGGTTCTGTGCAGACAGGGCTCTGGTCCCGACTCCGTGACCCCATTTTTAGAGGGCGGGGCGGGGGAGACACAGAGGCCCGGCCGCCCTGGCCCACGGCTCGGGGCCACGCCTTATGACCCGGAACTCGGATGTCCTTGACTCGACAAAGTGTCAGGTGAGGCCGATCCAGACTGTTTCTACCAACACATCCAACCTGCCTTCGCCTTTTACAACTATGAAATGGGCGCGTGCCCGAGACGGGAGCTCCCGGCCAAGGGTCTTTAAGGGCTGTCTGAGGAGCAGCACTGAGGATACGTTCTCCAGTTGAAGGATACGTTCTAGTTCAGAGTTTGTCCTTCCTCCTAAAAATGGGACACAAAAATAATTTACACCAACTGCTTTTTATTACGGAGTTTCGAAAACTTTCCACAAGATAAAAAAAAAGAAAGAAAAGAAAAAAACCCCGAAACTCAACAACCACAGCCACCGGAATTTCCCACTGTTCCCAGCCGGCTCCAAACCCACTGTGGGCAACGCCCACCTCCATGCACCCAAACGAGAGATACAGGCTATGAAATTCTTTATTCTATTTGTAGCAGCTTATTATGCAGGTGCAGCCAAACACAAAGCTTCAATGACAAATTGTACACAAACTTTACAATGTGGGGTTGAATTTAAAATATGAAACAAAAAATCTACACAAAACTGATGAAAACCAAGCACAGACGGCAGGACTGAAACGCAGAGCCCACGCGTGGAGGTCTCGTTTCCTCTCAAGTGCTCTGTCCCGCTGCAGGAGAGCCAGAATGCAGACGGGAGCTGTGTGGTTAGTTTAAATTATACACTCTGTAGATACTCTACCGATTTTAAAAGTTACACAGAGACCAAGAAATGTCCATCAGTTCATTTGGATCGACCAGACACCCCAGCCGCTCGCGGGCAGACCGGGCCGCCAAGGGGGGACGCCCCCGCGCCCTGCGCGGGCTCACTGGTGGGCGCACTGCACCCCTGGTCCGTGGTGGCTGCTGCCCTCCTCATCGGAGCTGTCGTTGTAGGCCTCGCGCCTCTGTCCGCCTCCTGAGCCCCGGGTGCTGTCAAGGTCCTGAAGCTCTACCTCCTCTGTGTCTCCAATGATGTTTGGGACTTCCGGTCTCGATGGCAGAAGATCTTCTAGTTCCTTCAGCAGAACAAAGCAGTGAGGTTAGCTGGACATGTCCTCGTTACCCTCCCTGTGATACAATCCGAGGTGCGCGCTTCTTGGAAGTTAAAATTGGTCTTTGCACTTTAGGCCACAGGCCAAACCTGCAGACACCGCTGGTGCCGCCGTCTCCCGTCTCTCGCTCAGAAGACAAAGCCAAAGCCGAGGAGCTCCGGCTGGCCTCACGGCAGACGCCACCCACACACGGCCCCTCAGGTGGCCCGCTCCCTGGGAGCCCGCCCTCCGCCGCACGGCGCCGCACCCGGCGGCTTCCCTCCTTCCCGCCCCCTGCTTGGCCCGCAAACACGGAATCCAGCAACTCTCATTTCGATAATCGGCAGGACAGCCCCTTAACCACTTAAAAAGAAAAATTTTGTAACTGTGATTTAATCTTAGCACCAAAAGCGAATGGAAGGTGACAAACACTACTAGTGAGGCAGTCATGTGTTGCCTAAACGGCGGCAGCACTTACAGAAAGCTTGTCCGGGTTGATCCAGTTGTTCTCCGGAAACTGCACGTCAAACTTTATGTAGAGGTCGCCTTTCTCAAAGGGGTTGCGGTACTGCGGCATCCCCTCCCCCCGCACCACACGGACACACCCTGTCGTGCGAGGAAGTCATGGGGAAAACGTTAAGAGTTTTATCCAAGAAGGTAGGTGCTCAGTACTATTCTTTTAAGAGCAGCCTCCTATAAACAAAACGCCCGCACACCATCAGAAAGCGCAGGGCGCGCCAGCGCGGGCAACGCGGCTTACCGGGCTCGATGACCTTGCCGGGGGGGTACTTCACCACGATCTGGCGCGCGTCGAGGTGCTTGAAGGCGAACTGGAACCCGCAAAGCGCCTCGACGAGCCCTATCTTATACGTCATGTGCAGATCGTTCCCGTCTCGCTGGAACACCTGCATACAGAGTGCGCAGAGCATCACCAAGAAGCGTGGACGCACACACTGCTGGGCTTCGTTCCCTGAGTGGACCTCAAAGCCTTAACTAGTACTCACTGCGCAGCCCCTCCGTGTCTGTGAGGAGCACTAGCCATTCTCAAGCAACGCGCCAAGAACGCGGGCCAGGCACATACCTGGGTCCCGGCCGGGGCTCCCAAGGCAGAAACAGGCACGCTCTGCTGCCCGTTCTGGGCCCCACCTGGAGCAAGAGGGTGCAGGTGGGGCGGGGGAGTCTGTGGGGCGCCCCCAGACAGGACCCTAACAGGGCGGGGGAGGGCCCAGCTCCACAGTCAGGCAGCGACACTCAGCCAGTGAGGGAGCCGAAATCCAGCCCTCACATACGTATCATGTTTCATCTCCCCTAAAATTCAAAACTTGCTTAGAGAAATGGAAATCAAACAGAATAAACAGAACAAGCCTGTGGCTAAGCAATGCAAACTGCTTAGTCAATAAACATCAAGAATGTTTCCAAAAAGAAAAGCTTCCGGGCTTTCAACACGTAGGAAATAACACACCCAATTTCACACGTGCCTGGCTTGTAATTGTAGCTTATTAGAATTTACAGACATCTATACACTTAATTTTTGAAATTTAAGATGCAATAAAATTAACTGCAGTGAAAGATCACCTAGATTTTTTTTCAATACCAGTTTCTCTCCAGAGACGCTGGAGAGCTCATCTGGAGAACAGAGGAGCCTGAAAGAGATCCTCTCCTCTTTGGTTACCCCCAAATGCAGCCAGGATGGAAAGTGGGTCTCAAACCATCGCCCTGACCCGCGCCCCCGGTTGGCAGGCTCAGCAGCCCACGGAAGCACGATCCGACCCCCACGCCCCCTCTGGTTGGCGCCAGGTCAGAAGCAGACCCAGCGGGGCCCCACTCCCCCCCAGGAGGGCATGCCTCCACAGGGCTCCCGCAAAAAGACAGCGCCTGAGTTTTGTGTTTTTTTTTGGAGGGGAGGGTGCCTAGGCTAAGTGATTTGATGCTAAAATTCCGAGAATTCACACACAAGAACAATTTGGAAAGTTTTGAAAAACAAGATGAATGAAGGTGGACTACTGAGAACCACATGGTAAAACACTTAAAAGCTGCACCTTCTGACAAACACAGAGTGCAGAGCAGAGCGGAGAAGACACTGTGGCTCCTCGGGGTGCAGACGCGCTGCGGCAGCCGGGGCACCACACACGCAAGCACGCGCCCGCGCACCGAGAGACAGATGCACGCGGCTCACAGCGCCCCCCAAAGGGGGGCTTTTCCTAGCAGACGCGCACTCTTTCCGGCAGAGCACCCACCCAACCTCACGGCCTCGACACTACTTCAGCCCAAGTGTTGGGAGTGGAAAAAATAAAAGCCCAAACAAAGTAACTGCGTGGTTTTTCACGAAGTAGCTCAAACTAGTCAAGTTTTCTCCGGAAGGTTCAGAATTCCGTCCAGTGGCATAATCTCATCTAGGGCTCAGATTTACTCTGCTGGTCATCATCAAACCAAGAAGGGGCAACTGTGACCTCTTCCTACTGGCTGCACTTGCAGGCTCACCTTTACCACCCACTTTCTCCTCGGCAACCAGTGACACCTGCTGTCTGCTGGGAGCCCTGTGCAATACCACCGCTGCCAGCACTTTTAGTGACTGACTTCCAAGCCCCTCCCCTGGGCCCAAGAAAGAAAAGCAGCTGATTCACCACCCCATCTGATTGGGCGACAGCCTCTGGAGGGCGGGCCAGCCTAGTTTCCTGCCAAGCCAAGCCCAGGGAGGCCAAAGCTGGTAAAGGGGAGTCAGGACTTAAGATCTTTGTCTCCAAATCCAGTGATCTCTATTTTTAAAATCCCCGTTAATTAACATTAAAGATCGAACTCAAGGGTACGAAGGTGTCACTCACTGCCTGCCAAACCACCAAAGGACGTGCAAACCAAGGCCAAACAGAGGAGGAAGTGGCTGGCGTGCCAGTAAATAGGCTCTTGTAGAAAAGTTACCAGTGTTTCAACCCACGAGACCCTAAGGCAGGTTCCAGAAATTACTGTTTCTTAGCCACCTCGGCGACCCTCCCGTTCTGTGGGCAACACCCACAAAAAGCCGAGCCGTGCACACTGACAGCGCCGCCGAGGCGGCAGCCGGACCGGCTCCCCGGGAACGCCCAGGGCAGGGCGGCAACTCGCAGCCCAGCGAGCGCGACCCAGCCCGGCCCCGGGGCCCGCGTCTCAGAGCGGCCGCATCCTCTGCTGGGCTCCTCGAACTTTAGGCGACCTAAAAACTTTGTGTGTAGAAAACACCATCCAATGGGAGGGAACTTTTGACTCAGCAGAAGAGGTGGCTGCCCTGCGAGGCGCAGACTCTCAGGGGGACCAGGACGCCGGCAGAGCCCTGCCTGCCGCGCCTCTCGCGTCCGGTCTGGGCGACTGCACGGGGCCGCCTCTCGAGCCGCCACGTGCCTCTCAGGAATGAAGGCCCGCCGGGTGCTGCACGGCGCCTGAGCGGCAGGCGCAGCGGGTCCCTCAGAGGGCGGGCACTAGACCGCGTTGGCAGGCCCTTCGCCTTGCCTTGTATGTGACAGACACAATGCGCTTGCCGTCAAGGGATTTACAATGAAAGCAACCGCTCTGGCCTGGTAGCTTGGTGAGAGCGTCGTCCCCGTACGCGGAGGCTGGGCGTTCAATCCCTGGCCGGAGCACACGCCACCATCAACCAACAGGTGCATCATTAAGTGGAACAATTCGACACATCTGTCCCCACCCCCCCGCCGCTGCCCCCTAAAATGAGTAACTAAAAATTGGGAAAAAAAAGACAGTAAAGCCCTCCTGGAGGTGGCGCACAGGGCAGCCACCGCCAGGAGGTACCCACTACGCACCGCAGGCCAGCGGCAGTGCCGAGGCCACGGCCATGCCCACGGGCCGCCCGTTGCAGGTGCGCCGCCACGAGCCCTCCCGCCCTGGCCCGTCTGCATGAGCGAGGAACGGGGGGCAGAGGCGATGAGACCGCACGGGGGCGCAGCGCCGGCCAGCGGGGGACCAAACCCCTTACAGGGCTTCTCGCTGCGCCTGCCCTGCTGCCGCCAACCTGCCGACCCCAGGGAACGCCAGCGGCGCTCAGCGCTGCGCCGGGTGCCCAGGCAGACCTAGCTCATGCGCCGCACGCACACACTTTGGAACACAAGCAGCACAGAGATTACCTCGTGTTCTTTCTCTTGTAGCAGAAGAACAATGTCCCCTGGTTCCACTCCTGGAGCCTGGTCGGCCTCCCCAGTGAACGTAATTCTCTGTCCGTGTTTCATGCCTTTGTCCACGTGGACTTCGAGAATCTTGACTTCTTTAATCACCTTCTTCCCTTCGCATTTTTTACAGCGGTCCTTTTCATTAATCACCTCTCCTGGAAAAAGAGGTCATTCAGACTTCCAGCAAGACTACTACGCTGCACTCAGGTAAGGCAGCTCTCGACAGCGCCTTTGTTCATTAAATACATTTCCTGAAGTTCCTTTAATTGCTACTTTAATAACGAAAACTGCCCTGGCTGGTATGGCTCGGGGAGCCAGCCTGTGAACCAAAGGGCTGTCAGCGGGATTCTCAGTTGGGGCTCATGCCTGGCTTGCGGGCCAGGTCCCCAGTAGGGGGCGCTCAAGAAGCAACCAATCAACATTCTCTTGCATAGAGATGTTCCCCTCTCCCCCTTCCTTCCCCTCTGAAAAGAAAAAAAAAAAGAAAAAACACAGCCTCCCCCGCCCCGCCCCCCCGGAGGCCATGGAAACAAATTGGGTGCTCAGATACTGGGCTTCTACAAATGTTTCTTTATTTTTTGTTTTCAGTCTTAGAATCCTATGAGTTCATTAGGCAGAAAACCCAAATAAAAATGTAAATATCCTTCATGGCCCATTGCTACCCTGCCCCATCAACACTGGGCTTCACCGTATCACGGACAAGCGCCGCTCAGGTGTCCTGTCACGGACACCCCTCCTCAGCGCCACAGCACCGAGCCCCCGAAGCCACGGAGATGGGCCGACGGTGGCCAGCAGCGCACACCCCCACCGCGGTTCAGGGCGACGCTCTGCTTCTCTCTCCTACATCCCCTTCGAAGACCTCTGACTGGTGTCTAATAAACGTCTGAGCAGCGCACTGCGAGGAAAACAGCACCGACCTCTAGCGGCCGACTGCGGGCGCACTGCAACGCGCGAGGACAGCCGCCAGCAGCGAGCGCAGGGTCTGTTTCTAGAACACTGACTTTGCCGAGTGTGTTCCGCAAACGCCAGTTCCTCAGAAGGCAGGGCTCCCTGGAAGACTGGTCGACTCTGGCTTCTTGATGGCAGAACAGCCAGCAATTGCGATGCGGTCAAACGCACCGAGATCCCCCAGCACGGGAAGGTCCTGGGCAGCATCTCCACGCGCTCTCACCGCATGCTGGGCAGTGTGGCCAAGGGTGTTCTGATGACACCGTGTTATCCAAGCCGGGAGCCACTAGCCACCCACGGCCCCTTTCCATTTAAATTAATTAAAATAAAGTCGCGCCATCCCTCAGTCACACTGGCCGCGTTTCCAGTGCTCAGCAGCCCCAGGGGCTAACGGTCGCCGTTCTGGACGTTCCGTGCATGGAACGTTCCCGTTGTCGCAGAATTCTTTTGGCTGGCAGTGCCCTCGGGGCCGCCGGCCACCCCGCGTGCAGCCTTGCCCGTGGGAGCGACGTCTCCCCAGAGGACAGGCACGCCCAGCATCCCGCACCGTCTGTGACCTGAAGGGAGCTGAGGGCCGAGGCGAGCAGTGGCTTCAGAAGCCGCTCTCAAGGCCTGAAACACGTGCCTCTGCGAAGAGCGGTCCGGCCCCAACATCCGGCCTGAGGCGGACCAGAGCGCAGGGAAACCTCCTCCCAGCGACGGTAATGGGACAATGCGCTGTGTCCTCTTTATCGAGGATCACCCTTCAAATCAGAAGGGACAGAACACGGCGCCCATCTTTTGGTTGTCAGAACAAGGGAACAGCTTGCTGAGCGCAATGCAAGTTCGCCATCCCCCTGTGCTCGCCGGGGGCCGAGTGTGACGGAACAGCTGCCCTCTCCTTTTCCCTTCAGAACCCCGTGCGGCTCTTCTTTAGGAAGATGACACAAACACGCTGAGGAAGGAAAACGCGCCCCCCCCCCGCCCCCGCCCGGGCGCGGCCACGTACCTTCTCCGCTGCAGTCGGAGCACACGGACTGCATCTGCTGCACCATGCCCGGGGCCAGCTGCCTGATCATGATGCGCACACCGCGGCCCCGGCAGGCGCTGCACTTCTGAACGGCCCCTGACTTCCCGCCCTGGCTGCAGCAAGCAGAAGGAGATGTCAGGTTTCCGCCCAGGCCCTCCCCGCAGGCCGCGGCAGGCAGGCACTCGGCTCCTGGCCGCCGCCTCCAAGCCCCACGACCACGCGCCACGCTGGCTTTCAGGGGCGCCAGAGCTGCCCTGCCTTGGGCGGCGAGCGTTCAACCCTGACCAGCTTTAGCTGGCGGAGACTCGATGTGCCACTGCAAGAACAGCTGAGTTTCACTCCATAAACCGGAGCACACACTTACCCGTTGCACGCGCTACAGAGGACATTCTTGCTAAGCTGCAGTTTGGTTGTCTTGCCGTTGTACAGGTCTTCTAAAGACACTCTGGGGAGAAAAGGATTAGGTTCGATGAAATTTTGCCAAGTTCTCTTGTATCCAAGATACAAATGACAGCTGAAACAGCGGATCCTACCACACCCTTTCAGACAAAGAACTCAAAGCCTCCTCACGTGGAGCCCGCTGACCCAGGCATTACCCGTGGCTCCAGGGGGGCAGAGCAGCCCGTGGGGAGGGCAGCACGGAGGGGCAGGGCGCCACGCAGCCTTCCAGCCGCAGGAGGGGCCCTTCGCCAGCCCGGCCTCTGCGGGGGGTGCCCCCACTTCACAGGAGGGGACAGGCAGAGGCTGAGGAGCTTGCCCAAGACCCCTGGGGCGGCCCAGTGCCAGCCTGCACGGGGCTGCAGAGTCCTAGCACCACCAGCAGGAGGCACCCGGTGCGTGGTCTTAAGCATAAAAACGTGGCCTCACCTGCCCTGTGACAGAGAGGTGGAAAAGAACAGGCTTTTCAACAGAGAGCCTACAGCAAGTTCTCAAGCTCTACAGAACCCAGGAATTACGAGCAAAGTTGTGTACTCAAACAACTTTTACCAAATTTTCTAAGAAGTCTATGACCCAAAAAATATCCAATTAAAAGTATTGACAATATACAACCAATAAGACCCAACTTGCCTTTACTCATACACCATATGTGAACTATAGGACCCTTCATTTCCAAAGTCACCTCCAAAAAACCCATGTGTATCAAGTCTCAAAACTACTCTTCACATACTTCATTTGGCCTTACCCTTCTCATTGTGTTTTAAAATCTCCTTCAATTGTACAGATTTAAAATAGGGAAATAAAAAATGGTTGCAAGTATTGTACAAAGCACATATAGTATTTTGTAGCATTCAAACTTCCTCAAAATTGTTATCTTAAGCTCAACTCCATACGTTCCAGGCAGCCTGAGAGTGAAACACAGACAACACGACCTGCCCTCCAGGTACGGTCCTATCCACAGCTCGACCCGGGACAAGCGCCGGGCTGCCCTGCCTGCTTTGCCCCCTGAGAACGCTCACCCAAACCACTGACAGAAGACAGACATGCAGGGCCCCCGGACACAGCGAATCACAATCAGTACGCAAAGCCGCTAAGAGACCAGAAGAATCTTCACGTCAACAAGTGTGGCCAAAGCCCTGGCCGGGTTGGCTTAGCTTCTCAGAGGGCCATCTCGATGCACCAAGGTTGCGGGTTCAATCCCCAGTCAGGGCGCGTACAAGCAGCAACCAATGAGTGCACGAATAAGTGGAGCAACAAATCGACGTTTCTCTTTCTCCCTCCCTCTCTAAAATCAATTAAAACAAACAAACAAAAAAAAACAAACTCCAGGCAAGACAGGAGAAATTTGGGCAATGATCTGGCGAGACAGGAATCCCCAGTACACTAAACCGGCCCTGCCTTCCATAAGGAACTGCGTGTTTCCCTGCCTCCAACACCAGCGCCGGCCCGGGAGCCTCTGCCAGGGAGAGGCAGGGCCGCACGAGGCTGCTCACAGCAGCGCCACCGATGACACGTCCTACAGAGCAGGTGAGTGATTAAATGGATCCTGGCACGGAATGTTGTAAAGCCACCCAAAAGGAAATGCTGGCGTAGCGGGGAAGCGTTAAATACGGCTAACACAGCGGGGGTGCGGCCGCCAGCAGCCCGAAAGCGGCACAGGGGGCAGCGTGAAGACCTGCGGGGCACGGCACACAGGCTCGGCCCCGTTTTCCGCCCGGACCACCTCCCTTCAGAGAAACACATGAAAAAGCGACCCGCGCTGCCAAGTGCTCCCGGAATGCGCGCCCACAGCAACTGACTTCTGAGGGTGAATTCCTTTACACTACAAACTTGAGAGTGAAACTCCAACAATGTAACAGATCCGCTTTACTTCCTCTAATCTACTCAAATGAAGAGATAACATGAAATATTTTAAATACCTGAAATTCAGTCTCTGGCATCTGCTTGTAAAACCATCACTAGTTTATGAAAAAGTTAACAGGACACAAGACCTCGCACATTTGAGCAACTATAACAGCTGCTTCCACACCACAGCAGGCTCAGGGCTCCCGGTCTACGACCAAGGTCAGACGCCACTCCTGCGTTGGCAGGTTCACGTCAGGCTCGAGGCCAGTGGCCCCGCGGCGGCCAGCGTAGGAGAGCTGTCACTGAGGACAAGCCAGCAGTGACTGCAACATGTAAGCAAACCAGCCAGCCCGTCACTCAGTTTATAAGTTTTTAGGTAAAAAGTGACTTGGAAGATTTAAATACTTCAAAGAAGACAGTCTTCATAACTGAAAATGTAACTCATAAAGTACGTCTCAGAAGTGTATTAACAAAACCACCTTCATACTCAATAAAAATACCAACCCTCGTTTAAGATGCAGAGCAAAATGCACACACGCAGGTTATCAAATTCAACTCAGTCACCCAATGAGGACAGGAAGGCAAGCAAAAGCTTTTATTTTCTGATGAAGGATAAAACGTTTTTTGATACCTTTTCTCTTCTACTATTACTTGAAAAAAAGTACTGAAATTTCTTTTTTAAAAAAGAGAAATATTTACTTGAGTGGATGCATCATGTCTTCTCCTCTTCTTCTGCCATTTCGACTTCTATTCTGATTGCCCATGAAGCCAAACAATCCCCCGCCAAAAATGTGAGAGAAAATGTCATCCATGCCACCACCTCCGCCGCTACCTTCCCGAAGGCCTTGTTCTCCGTATCGGTCATAGAGCTCGCGTTTCTCAGGGTTTGACAGAACTTCATATGCAAAACTTATTTCTTTGAACTATAAAGAGTAAGAAAGGAAAACAATTGGCTTTGCAAGTAGAAGAGCTGGGGAGGCTACAGGAGCCCAGAGCCCACGGAGCTCTGCAGGTTCTGAGCTGTCCTTGGCTTGGTTCTGGGCCTACTCACCACCTGGCGCTGCCCGGAGTGTTAGGATCCCTGTTGCAAAACCACATGCTAGTACCAGGAACACGTGGCTCAGGGGGCGCAAGCGCACCCGTGCCAGGAGGGCCATTCGGGTTTAAAACCAAGAGCTCGAGGACAAGAAGTCTCAAGTAACTTACTTTGTCACCAGCGTTTGGGTTCTTATCAGGATGGTATTCCTTGGCGAGCTTCCTGTATGCCTTCAATAAAGAACGAGAAAGAAGAGGGTCACACACAAAGGCTGGCTGAAAGATTTGTGAGCGCTAACATAACCACTTCTCTGAGAAGCAACGCTCTAAAATCATAACCTTCCAAAAAACCCCTTTCGTTCACTGGGATTTTCCATCTTAATGCTGTTTACTCACTAATTTAATACAATAAAGCAGACGGCATTTACACCTGGAAATGGGTTACAATGAAGTCAGGCACAGGCAATGAAACAATGCCAACGAGGAAAAGAGAATCTTGAAAGACTCGTTTGCACTATGGTCAAATGTCTCTGACGGCCAGTAACCGGGCCGAGAACACGTCAGTCAACTCTTAAAAAGAAATGCTTGTTAAGGCTTGACAAACCGCAAGACATTATAGCTAAAAATCAAGACAAGCGAAGAACCCCTGCGCGCGAGGGCTCCTCTAAGTGCAACGTCAGGGAAAAGCCAAGAGGAACCCGCAGGTCAGGTTTTATTTTCACGTGGGGTCTACGCGAGGGAGCCGCCCTCCAGGCGGCCGAGCTGCCCCGCACTCGGGCTTCATTCACAGACCCAGGAATTATATAACAGACCGGCATTTCCGGCGGGGCAACAGGAAGTCCCTTCCACGCTCCTCCACTGTCCCCGTCCCGCCGCCTAAGCTGCAGCCTCGTTTCCTCCGCTCGCGAGCGCGGCCACGCCGGGCCCCGGGAAGATGCCCTGGGCTGTCACCACCTGCCTCCAGGGCAGCGAAATCCTGCGATGTCAGCCTCGCGGCTCGGCACCGCGCGACAGTGAGGCCGGCCATTTATTTTTAGTCGGCGGACACTCAGGTGCTTGGCTGAGACCCACGCTTCTTCCGGAAGCGGCTGCATAACCCCTGGGTTACCTGCCCCGACAATGCGCCCGAACAGTGACCCCCGCCGCCCGGGTCACCGCGGAAGGGAGGACGGGCGGAGCGCGCGGCTCCCAGGAAGCACCCGACCTGCCCCGCGGCCCCAGCGGGCGGCCGCGACCCCGCCCGACGCGGCGCCGGCCTCCGTGGCGTGGACGTCTCCCCCGCGGCCGGCCGCCTCGGTCCAACCTGTTTTTCCAGGCTGGTGACCCCGGCGCCCGCCGGGGGAGGGAGGAAGGAAGCGCTCCGTCTCGCGTGCGCAGCGGTGGGTTGTATTTGCTGCAACTGCGGGCGGGCGGGGCCGACGGCCCAAGGTCAGGGGAGCCAGCGCGCGGCCCGGAGCTGGCGGGTCTCGCCGCCGCCGCCGCCGCTCCCGGCCTGGACCCGGCGCCGGCTCGCGGGCCGCCGCGGAGCGCGGCCTGGCCGTGCCGGCCGCGCAGGCCCGCGCCCTCACACCCCGCCCGGCCGGCTCGCTTCCCGGTACCTTCTTCAGCTCGTTCTCGCTGGCGCCGGGCGGGACGCCCAGGATGTCGTACAGCTTCGTGTCGACCACGTTCGCCATGGCGGCCGGCCGGGCAGCGCTTGGGCAGAAAAGCGGCGAAGCGGACGGAGCGGCGTCGGCGGCGGCAGCGCAGGCCGAGGAGACAGCGAGGGGGAAGCGGGGGCGGGGCTACACTTTGACCCGGCGCACGCCGCGCCGTGACGTCACCGCGCGGAGCCGTCCCCCCGGCGCTGGGGGCGGCCTCTGGGTTGGGGGCTGGTGACGTTGCATGCCGGGAGCTCGCCGCCGGTCCGCGGGGTCAGGGCCCGGCGCAGACCCCGAGAGCGCACCGCGCGGGCTCTCGGGAACTCGGCTCCCGGCGGCAGGTGTTCACGGAGCCGCCTGGGCTCGCGGGGCCGGCCTCAGAGCCCCAGGCCCCGGGCCTCCCTGGGGTCTCGTTGTCTCGGACTTGGGTGGAAAACCATGACCAGTGTGTCCCCTGTGTTTTGTGTCAGGGCATTTCCACACGGTCGCCAAAAGGAGTAAATTATACCCAAGAGCACAGTCACATGTCACTAATTTTGTTTGACCGACCCCCCCCCCCCGCCCCAACCCGGCATTACCTAACCGCCAGGGTTTTAAGGGAAAACACCCTCAGTGCATCATCTAATACAGCACCGGGACTGGTTTCCTGGAAGACAATTTTTCCGGGGCGGGGTGGCTGGGATGGTTTCAGGATGATTCAAGCGCTTTGCATTCAAGCTCGCCACCTGCTGTGGGGCCTGGTTCCTGACTCGCACAGAGGGTACTGGTCTAGAGCCCACCTGAGGTTGAGGACCCCCAATCTAATAGATGACTTTTGTAAGGTGTAAGACATCACACTTAATGAAATGAGTGCCTCTGTGGAGAAAAGGGGCGACATGCTAAACCTGCTAAGCTCTGGGGAGGCCTGGCGGCTGGCCTTACAAACTCGGAGACCCGAAGTAACCACATGAGATGGTCTGAAATGAAAACTCTTTAACCAAAAGCAGCTCATGGCAGGTAGGCAAGTCCTAAGCCATTGCTTTTCCCAAACAAGGGTCAACCTTTATCTTAACTGAGCCTGTCGTCTTTTTGCATCTGCAATAACATACCTGATAACACAGCTTTGCAATAGCAAAGTAATTTAGTTTTTTTTTTCCTGGACCCCCTCAAAGCACAACCACCAAACCAGAGCAGAGACCACAAACCCCATCATTGTTGTTGTTAACTGTAACCTAACTGTCCTATACCCACCTATGCAAAAGAAGTATGTGTCTGTTTTACTTTTTATCCATTCCTGGAGACTTCCTGGCTTTGCTGCCCCACCTCCCTCATCCATCGCCAGTGAGCCATCACAAACGGGCGACAAGCCGTCGTGCCTGCCTTCAGCCCCCTGGAGATTTAAGGACACACAAAAATAGGATGTTCTGGCCCTTTGGAACCTGAACTGGTCGGTAGTGAAGACTCCGGCGTCAGCCCCTCAGGACGGGCCCCTCTCTCTTCCTGGACGTTCCTGAAGACCTAGCAGTGCAGAGCCTTGGGTGCCAGGCGGAGGAGTTTGCCAATTTATCCTGGAAACCCTGTGGAGTGATCGGTGTGAAATGACAACACCACTCGCTCCCCGTTCCCCACAAACTCTGCCCGAGATGCTGCTCTTTCGCTGCCGTCGTCCCGGGTTCCACAGCCCGGGGGCTACTGCTGTCTCGTTTGAGTCCCCCAACCCTTGGCTTGTGCTTTCTAGAGACTGGTCTGATGTGCTATTCCAATGGTGTTTTGATGTGAATCTGAGCTCCATTAATAGGCTGTTGGTTTCTTGGGGGGAAACCGTGCCCCACGCGGTCTGGATGTGAATGCCTAGAGGCCTCAGCGATTTCAGTTTCCCCACTTCCTTTTTGCGTTCTGAGCTGCTCACAAGAGGCAGCGTTACGTTGCGGTGGAGTTAGAGTGTGTGGGTTGCTAGCTTGGCTCAGCCGTGTGTTAACAATGTGACTTTAAGCAAGTTACTCTTCCGAGGCTGATTCCTCACCTGTAACATCAGGTTTAATAGTATTTATATTACTGGCTTGTTTGAGGGTTAAAGAGTTAAGGCATATAGAGTATTTAGAAAACAGGAGCTGAAACTAAGGATGAGCCATTCTGGTTTTTGCCCATTTGCCCACGGGCTGTCCCCACACCTTTGTTCATTCTCTTTGTCCATTTCAATGCCTGGCTCCTGCAGGGATTCCCCAGCTTCCCCTGCAGCCTGTACCCACTGGCCTCCGCCCTTGTGGGAGGTCTCCCTTCTCCAGGGCTCTGTGCCTGTCAAAATGACCCCCTTCTCCTCCTTGGGCCTTCCAGTCCTATCCAACGTGTTGCTCCTTCAGTGACCTTCACGCGGCTGCTCTCTCTTCCTGCCTTAAAGAGTCTAAAAGAACGGGACTGTTTTAACCTCTTTCTGTCTTACTCATTTTTTTCCTTTTTTTGCGAGGGGAAAACCCCTCACGGGGTTTAACTTTGGCTTCCGGTATCCCAGTGAAGGGGAGCTGGGGAAAGTCCATCCCTAGCTCTAAGTTATTTTTTTTATCCTGACTCGGCACCAGTCACCCCAGTTCAAATGTTTCCTGTTTTCAATTATTTACAAGACTTTGTCCACTTCTGAGTGTTAGCGGTAGTCAGCGTTGTTAGTGGCTCATTCCGTAGGTCAACAAGTTATTTCAGAACAGCCCAGCGCGCTTCAGGGCGCACAGCGCCTCCGTCCCCAGGTGCTGAGCCAACCCGTCAGCGCCAGCGCTGAGATAAGCTGCTCACCGGCTCCGTGTTTTTAAGGCAGCTCATTTATTTTAGCTCCAAATTTAGCTAATGCCACGAAGGGAACAGGACCGTGACCTCATTTGGCGGCCCAGGTCCCGTGAAATGCTGAGTCACGGTGCATGCCAGAGCTGCTCTGGTTCAGCCGATGATTTCACGTTCGAGGCCGGAGTGATTGATTTCAGGTTTCTGCCAGGCCTGTGACGTTGTTCGACTCCTTTTAAAAAACTCGGTGTCCTTGTGTCCCTGTGGGGGCTGAGGTGGGGGAGGGGTGGATGAGGACTAGGGAGGGGGCGGGCGAACTGTAATGTTTTTGAGGACATTCACAGCATTCGCAACCAACAGCACAGGGCCCTGGACTCCATCGCTTTCGGCAGCCTCGGACATACGCTCGCACAGTAGCTCCGCTTTCTGCTTTCCCTGGAACTCATCTGGAATGCACAGGGCAGGCGGTCCCAGTTAAAATGTTTTCCAGGGGACACCGAAGAAGGTGCTGGTGGACGGCTCTCCTCCTGAGGGTTAGGGTCGCAGAACTGATGGCTGTTGGTGCTCTGGGGAGAAAAACACGCGGGGTTTCGATCACCGGGTAATCTCTGCATTCCTTGCGTGAGGGGCGGCGTGGGGGTCTGCGGGGGTGGCCCCACTGTTACCCTGTCCTGGCGTTCCCTGTCAACTGGCCTGGTATCAAGTTTCCATTGGCTTATAAACTGCAGTGTAGTAGGCGGAGAGGTGACTGGACACGTTTAGCTACTGAACCGCTTGTGTGGGGAAGGAGGAGTGGAGAAACTATGTCTATATATTCATTTATTCTAGAAATGATGGGCCCACTAAGCGTCAGGCGCATTCAGGGCTGGGGACACAGTCATAAAAGAAACCTCTGCTCACGCAGAGCCCGCATCCCAGGCAGGGCTCACAGGCAGTGAACCAGCACGTGAGCGCAGAGCCTATCAGATGGTAGTGTGTGCGCTGGAGGAAGCGGGGGCGGGGGGGGGGGGGGTGCAGGGAACACTGGGTTCAGGTGCTTTTTTTTTTTTTTTTGGTGGAGAATTAAAAATATATATTTACTTATTTTTAGAGAGAGGAGAAGGGAGGGAGAAAGCGAGGGAGAGAACCAGCAACGTGCAAGGAAAACAGCGACTGGTTGCCTCTCGCACTCCCTGACTGGGGGCCAAACCCACAATCCAGGCCTGTGCCCTGACGGGGAATCGAGCCTGCAACCTTTTGCTTTGCAGGACGACGCCCAACCCACCGAGCCACACTGGTCAGGGCTGTTCTTCCATTTTTTATGCAAGTCAAGTAAATACAAATTTATATTCTTATCTTCACTTTTTGTTAATAGAAAAAGTAGAATACTCTACACACTGCTCCGAACTGGCTTTGGCCATCTGAGAAATCCAGAGAATCCACATTAGTACAGAGATGTCCCTCTTTTTTTTTCTTCTCTTTTTTGGGGGGTTAAAGTTTTCTTGAAATGCAGACATTGTGAGGATGTGCCATGATTCATGTAATCAGTTCTTTACCGACAGACCCTTGACTCGCTATCTGGTCATTAAGATGCGTAATTGCCGGAGAAGAAAACGCCACAGACAGGCGTCTCCGCTTTCCACCTGTAAGAGAACAGAATCTGTACTTCAAGGGCCTTCGACAAGGCCAAGCCAAGCTCTGAGTTTCTTTTTGACCCTTTGATTTTGAAAGAAACTGGTTTCCATCAAAAGAAAATTGTAAATGTTCCCGAGGACTGCGGCGCCCACCTGGAGCACGTGGGAACGAGAGGCTCCCGGGGAGCCGGCCGCCAGCACCGGCCCCTTGCGCTCGGAGTCATCAGCTTTCTCCCGTGACGCGGGGCCGATACCTCGAAGCTGCACCAACAGGAGCTTTGAATTACCGTTTCTAGGTCACCGTAACAGAGACAGGACTGCAGCGGTGGCTTAGCTGCGACTCTGGCTCGCAGGTTTTCCCTGCGAAAGAAACCAGCTACTCAGGCCCGACTGGAAAGACATACAGAAACGCAGACGGCTGCTGGCCTGGGCCACGGAAGCCCTCTTTTCCTTTAAAAGAAACCACAGGAAAATACTCTTTTGGGAGGTCTCCACACGGGACGAAATCCACCGAAATTGTTGCTGGAGAGGGCCAGCCGGAACGTGGCTCCGCGGGTTGAGCGCCGGCATGCAAACCGGAGGGTCGCTGGTTTGATTCCCAGTCAGGCCTGGGTTGCGGGCCAAGTCCCTAATAGGGGGCGTGCAAGAGGCAATTGATCAGTGTTTCCCTCACATCGACGTTTCTCTCCCCCTCTCTCTCCCTCCCTTACCCTCTCTCTAAAAATAAATAAATAAAGTCTTTAAAATAGACTGGCTAACTCATTGCTTAAAGCAAGTGGTCAAATTGGGCCAT